AAAGGAAATAAACATCCATCCTTCCGCATTACTAGTATATCTATGCCGTTAATCTTTCATTATGCATTCTTTCCTAACGTCCGAATAGTAATATTAGTAATATAATAATAGATATTCTTATTGTTACACTGATGGATTGTTTCAAACAGATTCGCTCAATGTTTTGTATAACAATATATAAAGTGGATGTGTTTGTGTTTGGTTGGGATGGGAATGGGATCTACTAGGCTTCCTCTCTATTATATATGTATATCTTATCAATATTATAAACGCGAATGTTTGTGAGTTTGTTTGGATGTTTGTTACTCTTTCACGCAAAAACGGGAACGAATTTTGATGAAACTTTACAGTGATATATAGCTTATACATCAGAATAAAATATTCTTAATAATATTATAAATGTGAAAGTACGCTTACACGCAAAAACTACTGAACTGATCATCATGAAATTTTGTACACATGTTCTTGGAGGTATTAGAATGAACATAGGATACTCTTTATTAAAAAAATATTTTTGATTCAATGCGAGGGAAGCCGCGGGTAAAAGCTAGTAGGCTAAAATTTCACGTGGGCGAAACCGCGGGCACAGCTAATATATATATGAATGGTTTCCAGTTGGTATCACAGTGCGGTGTGGTGTCCGGTTACGATATGACTCCGGAAGCGGCACTAACCAAGCTGTCTTACGTATTGTCTAAGAGTGAACTCAGTTACCAAGAGAAAGTTGAGGTGAGTTCCGCACTATACTATGTGTATCTTATCATTTGAGTACTATATATTTGTTAATGTTTTAATCTATTTAAAAAGGGATGCAGTTTTCTTTTCCTTCTTTTTTGTTGTGTATTAGACCAGAAATTGGTGATAAGTACTTTGAGATTGTCAAGAATTTGGAACAGATATCAGTGACATATTTTTTTGACAGTTACAAACTTATCTTTTGCAGATGATGGCAACAAATATTAGAGGAGAATTGACGAATACAACATCTATTGCTATAGAGGTAAGGTTATTTATGTACTCCACATATATCGTCAAAAATAAATAACTAAATAGAAGCAAAGAAAATGATATAAAATTTATTTCGCCATAGACTACAACATGTGTCTGTCTATTTACTATATTTTTACGATTAAACGGATTGAAGTGGGATTAAATTATCACGACGATGGACATACTTTGTCTTTTATTTTAAAAATCAACATAAAATCGCGGGTACAAGCTAGTGTATGATAAATTGTGAATTCACCTGAGCTAATAGTAAAGGTATAATGTATGGTATAAATATTTTAGGACAATACTCTAATAGACGCGCTTGCCTCCAGTCTGAACATCCAGTCACCGAAGATGCTTATAGAAGTTACGGAGAAGGTGTTCAACTCGTTATTGGTGTACGCAATTGAACATAGTGACGAACGGGCGGTCAGAAAATCTCTAGGTATGACATTTTTTTCATTCGGAATCAGACCCAGAAACTCAGACACGCAGACACCAGAAAAGCACAAGTTTAGTGTGAGTATACTCACATACTTTTCTGGTGAAAAGTAGACTTTGTAAAAAGTGCAGTATAGTGCCTCGGTGGTCCATCAGTTTAGCATCGTTATATTTGACATCGCTTCGATTCGTCTTGAAAGACAAATATTTGTATTCATGTATTGATCTAGAATTTTTCTTTATTTAAGTAAATTTAAATTTAAGCGTTTTTGAACAGCCATATTACTTATTATTTTAATCTATCGCTCATTCGGAAAGCTGTCTGATCACAAGAAGAACGAGCAGAAAAAATACAAATATTTGTATTCATGTATTGATCTGGGACTTTTCTTTTTTCAAGTAAACTTAAATTTGAGCATTCTTGAATAGACATATTACTTATTTTTTTAATCTATTGGTCATTAGGAAAGCTATAACAAGAAGAACGAGCAAGATACTTGCATGTTGTCCTTTTAAATAATTGTTTTTACATATTTAATCTGAAGTGTGTGATTACAAACTACCAACTAGCACTAATGCTCAATATTAAATACACAATCGACTAGTTAACAAACTAAATAATAATATATAAGTTTTATTAGCTATTACTATTAACATTAAATTTTAATTAGGTATTTGATCCATTAATTATCAATTTAATTAGATAATTAGGTATATACTTAATTAGTTGAGTGATTAATTTAGAATTAGCTTTCTAATTAGAAGTAAACCGTAATTTTATTTATTAACTAATATATCTACGTTGTAATATTAGAATTGCAATAATGGATTCCTAATAACACAAAATAGCGTACACGCCATTATCAATTTGTATCAGGTTAGATACAAACAATTACGTGTACGCTATGGAGGATGACAGAATGGCTAAAGACAAACTTAACTAACCACGACACTCATAACATATCTATATTCACGGCCATTGTTCCAGATAGGGTAGTGCTATTATGGTTAACAAAGTAATTTTTTGTACAGACATGGGCGCAGACATCTGTGGTCAGAACTCTGAAGGCAGAACTCCCCTCATTGAGGCAATCCACAAAGGGAACAAGGCAATTGTAGAATTTCTACTAAAGAATGGAGCGAATGTTCATTTAAAAACCAGGTAATAATATGATCTTTCTATTAATATATATTACATTAATGAATAGTTGTTGCTGGATACGAGCGTTCGATACCCCGAGTGTCTACTCAGACTGTCTTCTCTTCCTATCAATCTACCTTTGCTTTATAACATTTATTTTAGAAAGGTGCTTGGAAATGGGAAAGTTGGCGCTTCTGAGTCTGGAGCGTAATACAGTGGCGCCCCCAATCAACTTTCTTACGATAGTGGTAACAACCGACGTTCAATAAACAGGAATTTTAAAAATTATGAAATCAAATGTACATAAGGATCATTTATCTGTACATGTGCTTATCACTTAGCTCTTAGCAAATGGATTGATAATATTTGTTATTGTATATTTTAATGGGTTCCTGGATAGTTTACAAATATAATTTGACCTTGTAGGTGGCCCTGCTTCTCCAGGCAGGACAATATCTGCCGGGTCAGCTAGTGTGGTATATAATGTCAATGAGAACAATTTAATATAGCTGAGATAGTACTATTTATATCGTCTAGTTGATTACTTTGACGTCTAATTTTAAACACAAATGAAGTATCATCTGTAAACAGCACTATATCTGCCATTTTGTCTACCACGTAGGACAGGTCATTTATGTAAATTAAAAAGAGAAATGGGTCTAACATTGATCCTTGAGGAACACCCTTCGTAATATTAGTTGCCTCAGACTTTATACCATCACTATATACAGTTCTCCTATCCTTTACATTTTCATTAATTTTAGCTTATTACTTTCTGAATTTTCAGGTGTGGAGAATCTGCACTCTTGACTGCAATACAAAGAGATGATCTCTATATGATAGAGTTGCTGATGAAATGTGGAGCTCACCTCTCCAGTACTGACAATAAGTCTATTTGCGAGCTACTATCGTTGGCAGCCAGGAGTGGTGCTGTCAGGCGCCTTGAGTCTTTAAGGGAAGCTGGGGCGGACTTGAATTTATCTGATGAATTGAAACAAACTCCTCTTCATAAGGTATGTAAGAAATTACATTAATTTTTATACCTATAAATTATTTTGTACGTAGTAAGTTAGTTTTATTAAGGCATACTTTGTACAAAGTCATCTCTATGCGATTGAAATCAGTCTCGCCGATGACGAAGCGGTGGTCAAGCAGTTTAGAACACCACAACACACAATTGACACGACTTTGGTCGCGGGTTCTATTCTTCGCACGGTACTAAAATTTGTATGGTTGTTTGTACTGGTCTGGGTGATTTCTATTAAAAATATATATTTAAATATTTAAAAATAAATTATCTGGTACCCATAACACAAGCTCTGATTGGCTTAGGAATTGATGGTGTTGTGTGAATTGTCCTGGGATTATTTAATAATAACCCTTAAGCATTATTATTGTTTTAATTATTGTGGTAACATAAATGTATGTTTAAAGGCGGTGCTCTGTAAGAAGGTGGACGTTGTGAGATATTTAACGGAAAATGGTGTCGCGACAGACGTCGTGGATGTACTCAGCTGCACACCAATGGACTACGCAATAAAGCTGGATTGTTCTGATATAGTTAATTTATTAAAATAGATTTTACTTATGTATTATCAATAACATGGTTTGTATTTAATAATATATGTAAGAGAAAATGTGATATGGCTATTTTTCGTTGAATGCCCAGTTGTTGAAAAATTTCAGAAGGAATTTATTCATTAAACAATAAAATAGAATATACATCAATTATGCATAAGAATACAAAATATTAGTAAAGATAAATATATTTTTTATGGATATACCAGTTGCATTCGAAGTTGCAAATTTTAAGTTGAATATTTTATCTATGCATGTTAATTTATGTATGCTCAACGATATAACATACATAAAAAAAAAATTATCAAATCAAATTGTAAGTTGTTGTCCCATCGTGACAAGTCATGATATCTGATAATGCGATCAGAAATTAATTACAGAAGACAGTGAACATGTTATTTATAATTGTACTTTACAAAAATTCCATGGGGTCACTTCAATCAACAATTCCCCAATACCCATTTATATGTAGATACAACTATTCTTTTGAGTATGATGATACTGTTTTTCGATCAGCTACGACAATGCAAAACAAGTAATTTTTTTAATGTGTGGAAAAATCATTAACAGACCTCCCCGTCGAGGGTATGACGAGGGTATGGGATTCTTACAAGGTATGCAAGGTACACACCACCATGCATGCATGCACCATAAGGTATGCACATTGCCGGGGTCGCGAGTTCATGTTAGTATTCCCCCACGACTCCGGCGCCTAAAATAACAGGCTCTAGAGAACTAGTCTCTATGTCATAATCTAGGTTATGCTTGTTTTATTTAAGAAGAAAATAAAAAGAATTAGGAATAGATAATTCTATATTGCAAACTTATATAACTTTATTTACATCAAATACAAAGCTTATTCCTGTTATTAGGAAAAGGTGTTAGCAGGCAAACTATTCATTAACATTAATATGTGATGGCGACGCAGCGGGCACGGAGCGTACGTCATACAGTCTTCACCTTTACGTCCAGATAAGATCGCTTCATCCACTGCTGTTGAATTTATCATGCTGGACAATATCTTGTTACTGTAAACAGATACGTAAATAATTACTGAGCAAATAATCACTTTATTTTGACGGCCTCGGTTACGGGTACGATTACTAGCATGGTACAAAAAATTGTATTGATGATTGTTTGTGTTAATCTGGGTGTTTTCTTTGTATATTATGTATGCATTTGCAAAAAAAATGTATGTAAGTATATTTATCAGGTGGTTAGTACCCATGATAACACAATCTCTGCTAAGCTTACTAGATGGCGCTGTGTGATTTGTATTATTATTCACTACTCTAAAGATATACAAAATCAAATAAATTGATAACAATGACATTTAGTTATTTCATTGACCACTAAATATGCAATTAAGAAGTGTAAAAAAGGTATGAAAGGATGCAATCTAATGTCATTGTATCGGAATTTATTTCTAGAGTAAACCAGCTTCAGAGTAAAACATACTGCTTGTATTTTAAAGGATTAGTTAACTTGACTTAAGTCGGTGATGCATTTTTTATATCGAACAGAAAGCCAAAGAAGCCGACGGTACGGAAGTTACTTGGCCTGTCATTATGATTTCACCAGGAACTAACTAATGTGTTTTCCAAGGCAACCGCCTGGGATCCGACCTGACTGGTACTGACTGGTGCTACATGTACCACATTATTTCCTCAACAATTCCTTAGGAAGGGAAGAACTGTACTGTTAAGCCTTAATTTATAAGATATAGTATTTTGTATATCTTACACTTCCGATTAATTTATCGTTATGTATATTACTGCTATAGTGTAGTATAGTGTGTATGTTAAGACGTTTATGCTGCTTGTGTTTCGTAAAATTTTACAAAATTTTGCTATTGTATTCACTAACAATAGTACAAGTTAGTGGTTCACTGCCCGACCATTATGACCCAAGTGTCCTCTCGAATGTATTTATATTATTTCCTTGCTAGCTGCTATTGCCCCACTACCTATCGATGATGTGGCGTGGGGGCGTCATAGTATAATCATAGATACAGATATTTATCAATCCAAAAAAATTATACCTTCTAGCATAGTTCCAGACATTCATAAAGTTGCTGTGTATGGCCCTTTGTCCAGTCCAGCAGGCTACTCTCAAAGTGCAGCTGCGAAAATTGGGGTTCTCCAACATCTGATTGGCGAAGTTCAACATAGTATCAGCCTCGAATTCTGCATTGTTTAGTACTGAAAAATCAAATAGGTTAATTAAGACTGCTGTGAATATTCTAGGGGAAATAACATAAACTGAAGTGCTATATACTCTATATGTGAATTAATTAGAGTAGTTGATAAAATATAATAACTATAGCTTCACCATCTAATCTCAAATACCCTATTTGAGATTTGAACGTGAACGTAATATGTGGATCCCATGTAGTAAGGAGACAAGCCTATCGCCGTCTCTTAGTTAACTTTTTAGTTGTTACAATATTCCCAATTCCGGAGAGTAAGTCAAAACCATAAATTGATGCATACTTTCGGTCTCTACATTTAGATCTAAATTTGGTTAGAAACTAAATTTCGATGCTCTCTTATTGATTTAAGGAAGAATGTCAAACCTAGTAAGTACTTAGGTACTTTTTTGTTTTCAAATATAACCCACACATTAAAATTTTACAAGTTAACTTCTGAGATTTATGTATTCAGATGTTTAACACTGGCGATTAAGAAAAAAAATAGTTCTCTAGTTGGTCAGGATATTCTTATTTTAAAATGTAAAAGCAATTATTTGAAATTGAATTGTCAGTTGTATAAACGACAATGGAGGAATACTAACTTTCGGGTTACAAAATAAAATTATCAGTGTTAACAGTTATGAATTTTACGTAGGACCGACCGACAGCTGTTAATTATAGTAAGTATTTAATGATGCAGTGTAATAAATTAAATTCTTTGTTCAACGCAAATTAACCTATGATTTCTTCGTATTATTTTGCATGCAATACTAGTTTCTAATAATAGGTATGCGTAGTTAGGACTACAAATTTATGTTTCGTTTTTATTAGATAAAATAAAATAATCAATACAATATAATTATATAGAAATTTACTCAGTATATTTAATATTGTTTGAGGTTAAATAAATATTATTACTGTCTTTGAGCAATAATTGTCAATGTCTATATCACTAATTATTTACTACAGTTGGACTATTTGTTATAATTGGACACTGTATTTTAATTGCAAGATTCAAAATAATAATATAAACAGTGTAATAAAAATATACTACGAAATAAAAAATACTTATGTCTGTTTTCCTACGCGTGAAGACGTAACAAAGAGTATTCTGACAAAAAACTTGAAATTGACAGGTCATGGAGCAAATGTACCTGATAGAGATATTCATAGACAAAGTGACGATATTTGTATCTGAAGAAGATGAGAAAAGCGGAGCTAATAAAAACTTAATTATTAAAATTAGATTCGGCCCCAAAGCCCAGTTTATTATTAAAGAAGGCCAGTTAGCATTGAATGAGGACAAGAAAGACGATATTGTAGAATGCGATGACCTTGGTCGAAGAAAATGGACAAGGACTATAAGAGTGGGTAAATCTTATTTGTTTCCATCGTACCCAGATACAGTCCTTATGATATTGAGTAAGTTTCCACTTGAAATTGAAGTATGGAATGATGATCAAAATGAAGTAGAAATATTCGTTGGCATAGGTACAATGCATTGGGAAACGGAATTCTACCATATGCTGAAAGATACTACTGATGTTTGCAAACCTCATGAACCTCTATCTATTAAGCAGCATACACCATTATTCGCAGAATGCTGTTGCAAGCAAGTTGGTGAGATAGGATTTATTCTTAGACTAAGCGCTCTTGGAGATACTATTATCACAGAGTTTCAACAACTTATGAAAGATCCTGATACATTTGTTTTTAGAACGAATAAAGCTCCAAGCATGTTTCAATGTAAGAGGATTGAGGGTGATAACCCTAATTTCTGCATGGTCGGAAGTCTGTATGAGACTACTACTCTAGAGGATCCATCTGTGCTCAATAATGCACAAAAAAAAATAGAAGTATGTACTGAGCTTCAAAGTTGTGGCATGGAACAAAAGAAGGCTGATTATAGCTATGAACATGGTAAAGAGATAACAAAGAAAAAATATCCAATTAATAAAATTCGGATGGGTGATATTACTGGTCCTTGTGGTAATGCCAATTGTCCTTTAGCGCATAAAGTGAGAACATACATAAGAAATTTAGAAGCTTATAAACAAGAGGCAGCTGGTAAAGTAAGTGGTAATAAAGACGACACCACAAGAAAAATTTGTGGTGCTTGTAATTGCAAAGATGATCGCTGGCATCGCGAAAACTGTCCAAATAAAGATATAAAAACAGAGACAAAAGCTTTGTGTACAGGTTGCAGTGGAGTTGCTAATACTGGTGACACCTGTGAAGATAAAAAGAAAAATATGTACGGCACTGGTGCAACACCAACAGCCAGTAAAACACAAGTAAATTATGTATTCAGTATCAATAAAGTTCCAGATTTAAAAGAATCAATATTTGGAAAAGATTTTATTGTAGAAAATTTTCATACTAATTATAACTTTCAATCTCAACCTCATACTTGTCAATCTTTAACTAATCTGAATATTATCAATTGCTGTTGCCGAAAATCTGAAGTATTGTTAAAGAATGTATCTGGTACTGTTGGCATCAGTAAACCCAAAAATAAAGTTTCATCATGCAGCTTAGGAAGAAATAACGAGATAGTTTACAATATAGAATTAAAGGATTCGCTACGTAAGCTCGCTGTATATAATTGCACAGTAATACCCGACGAGAAGGATTGTAAATGTAATCCACCCAAACCACCACCCCCTTGTAAAACATTTGATTGTGAATGTGTTGCTGAGACATCAAATATAGCATCGAGGAAAGCTCACAAACCTTATTGCCCTTCTTATAAGCATAAGACTAGTTGTCCTGTCACAATGTTGCATGAAGAAGATGATAAAAAGAAGTTGGATGATGAGGAAGATGAAGTTGAACCTCTGCCGTACGGTTTGCCACCTATAAAACTTGGCCCGTGTCCAGTAATGGGTAGACCATGCACAGTACCTGATGGGTTTGCAAGAATGTACAAAACCGCAGCACTAGCTACTCCACCGCCTAGTTATAATGACGCAGGTAAAATATGTTGCTCTAAAGAATATGAAAGAATAAAGAAAGCTATAAAGGACTATCTTAAGTACGAGAAAGATCACGATTATCGCTGTATAAATAAATTTAATGTCGACACCGAAAGACGGTGCTGTGATAAAGAGCAGCAACTTCTATCTCTAATGGGCAAAGCATGCTGTGGATCTCACAAGATGTCCATCCAAGAGAAGTTCAAAGAAGATAAAAAGTGACGTTTTGCATATAATCATTGATATTTTATTTTGTAACCCTCTAGTGTATAACATCATAATTAACATCTAATTAAACGTTTGTCAACTTTATAGCATTTTTAATCTAAATATTTGATACTTCCCATTAGCTTAATTCTATCAGAATTAAGGCAATAACTTACAATATCTTTTTCTTATTGAAATGTAAAATGTTTCTGAAATGATTACTTGAATTTTTTTTTATGACTCAATTATGTTAAAAGTGTACGACATTTTTATTTGTACATAACAATGACCTTATGGAATTGTTCATAGAAATTTATTGCGCTGAGCTAGAAAATGGGAGATGAGGAAGATAATGAAAAGAAGAAGAAAAAGAAAAACGCTTCAAAGTACAATTACACATTCGGTGATATCCATCCAGGTAGAGCTAATGATAATCATTCATGACAATAATTGTTTGGTATCCAATTTATTGCAGAAATTTTACTTTTCCTATCTAAATAGGTGTGGTGATAGGACATAAGCAATGTTTGTACCTTAAGAAAGGTTATGCTGTCCCGGCAAGTATGGGATGGTTATGGAATGCTCACGATGTACCCGGCATGAAGGTATAATATTAAAATTGTACATTTTATTATCCAGATTATATAGTGATTCTTACTGATACAATACATAGTAATACAACTCAATTTGACAGCTGATTTTGGAGTTTATAAAATTAATATCCAAAAGTTTTACTTGTACATAATAGAATAATACAATTGGAATACATTTACGAGTCACCATTGTCGAGATTCTTATCTGTAATAAAGTTAAAACTGAGATTGATTTTTAGTTAAATTTATTTAATAGGGTAATATAAAGTATGATTATGATTATATTACTCTATTTATTAAAGCTTTTAAAATCGAATTCCCATTCACGTAGGTTTTATAAAGGTGATAAGCCTTAACAGACTACATTACTACTTACTATAATAATTTACCAGAAGTTTATTATTTGTGTATATTTTGTTTAGTTTCGCAAAGGATGGCAGCCTGGTGTAATTGGAAAAAGTGTAGCTAAGATAATGACGTTTAAATGTTCACGGGGCGGACCAGATAAAGACAAAAATAAGAAGAAGAAAAAGAAAGGTAGTAGAGCTGGAGCGGGCTTAGGAGGTGGTGACTCTGAACCTGATGAACCATTAGAACCAAAACCGGCCTTGAAGGTTCAGAGGAAAGGTGACGTTTTTACCATTCAGGTGAGATTAATAGAGGAATATTCTCTCTTTTGAAAAGCCCTACATCTTTTATATCAGGAATTCCGTATGATAGCGGATTATTATATATAATTATATTCTTTCTATATTGATAAATCATTTTGATTAAATTTTAGGTCAATCCTTTGAAAGATCTAACAGAAATAGCACCAAATGAAGACCCATACGTAGACTGCGATCCCATGGTTTTTAAAATAATAAAAAAACGCAGCCCAGAGGAACAAGCTAAAGTCGAGGCTCGCAAAATGGTAAAATTGAAGAAGCAAAGAGACGCTGAGATCAGAAAAGCTTTAGCTGAGGCAGTTGAAGATATATGTAAATGTGCATATATGGATGTGTACTGCAATGATTTGACTGCAATTGATAAAGTTATAGACAGTTGTCCTGCTTTTAAAGAACCAGAATGCGTGTGTCATGATGAATCATTAAGTTCCCTTTCAAGTAATGCAACATGGGATATAGAATACACACCGCCTTTCGGATGTTTCGATTTGACACCAAGGAAGCGGAAAAATTTCATTCATGTTGAAACACAATATATACCCGCTGATGCGGGAATAGTGGACTCGCCTAAAATTAAGTGTAAGAGATCTCGTACGTCTGTTAAGCCAAAGAAAAGAATGTTTAGAAAAAATTGTTGTGGCTGCCCTTGACTCTTTGTTGAGATCAATCGGTTCTTTCGTGATATTTATTGGTAACATGACAAATTTACTTGTAAAAATTGTGCTAAAAATAAAAAAAGTACGTGTTAAAAATTTTGCTTCAATATCAAAAATCTAATTTTTTTTAATAATTGAATGTGTATTCCAGTGTCTGTAAAGATATTTCAGGTGCGCGATTTGCGGTCAACTTTAGTATCTTTAATTCTATTAGTCATCCTCATAATTCTATTAGTGATAACTATTGGTTATAGGACCTGCTAGTAGGAATTAGTATGATGTTAAATTTTGTATTTGTATATCCTATTACGTATTCTCTAACCTCACCACTACTAGTGGTATATGGTGACTTCATCCAAAGTAGCACGCTATAAAAATGATACATTACCCAATCAGCAGTATTTTCTTTCTATAATATTATGAATGTTAATTCTATTATAAGGCTTCCTTCTCTTGCTGTGATTTATTTTATTTTTCCAAATACGTCAATCATACATACTCATACTTACACTTGGAATACCTATTATGTGGGTACGACGCAGCGTAAGTTCTTAGAAGTAGAGGTACAAGAACACTAGCCCCGATCACCATAGCGCCACCTATCGCCAGGGATGTTGGGTTCACATTTACTGCCGGTAAGCCCTGCGAAGTAATACTTAAATGATTGAATGATGAAATGAATGAATGATTTACATAAATTTCTGGAACATATTGCGTAACTACTGTAACTGCATGAATAGTTATTAGTTTTGCTTACAATTAGGTTTACGAAATTTTATAATTAAATTTTTATATGTTATCCATCAGAATTAATAACTTCATTTACTGAGATTATTGTCAGATTCCCCTATAATAGATTCCCTAATTCATTATCACATGTAGACTTTGTATATAGTCCTCTGCTTGAACGACTAACATTGTAAAATGTGTTTCGCACAGAGAGTGTGTTATGGCAATCATATGTCATTACATCTTAGTCACCTGGAATGGCAACAAATAAGGTACGTAGTAAGTAGTACGGGTGTCGAGTGATGACACTACCAAGTAGGCCGTCAGTTTGTTTGACATTCTAAATACGGCTATATTTGTTGTTTCCATTTTATTCGCTAGGCAACTGCCACTTTTTATAAGGTGGATGCCACAAATTAAAAGAAGTAGGGTGAATGTTAACTTGCATGCTATTTGCAGAATTAATATAGACGATTGCCAAATATTATAATACTTTTTAGTTACAACAAAAAATAAAAATAGAATTGAAGTACTGAAATTATTAACATATAAAAATTTTTATATTTTACCAGTGACGATGAGAAACCGAAATCTGCGTCCATGCCTTTCTTTATTGGAATGGAGATGAAGGGTATTGAGAATTCAAGATTTATCTGAAATTTTATAAAATGAGTTACTTCTCTATTGTAATAAAATAACACTGAATGAGTGCTTTCTCATTTAGTCTGAAATTAATTGAAACTTACGAGTATATCATAGGACTATTAGTAGAACGAGTTAAGAAGTGGATACGGTTTGAGAAGTTGGAAGGTCGTGGTGATATTTCTGTATTCATGCGAAAATCTGGTGCTACTTTATATCAGGAATTTCAGTTTTAAAATCAGTGATGAGTATTTGCTTTTTAGTTTAGTAAAATAGATAGATACACAAACTCACCCCAATATCATTATCCAGCGTGTTAAAAGTTAAAAATCTAGGTTTTCTGACACTACTATTTTTATCACTTTTCACTAGAAACACAAAAGAAAATAACAGAACAGTTTTACCAATCATATTCATTATAAATAAGTATTTTAACAAAATAAAAAATATATAATAATTTAAGCCAATAACCGTCAGTCTGTCACCAAAAACAGTTGCGTTATGCTACGAGTTTTGTTGTGCATTTACAGAAAAAGTCGAGGAAACGAAAAAGCTTCCGCGCTTTGTTGCTCACAATAGAGTAAGGTGCGAGCACTTAGCACCATGCAAACCATTGGTCGTGAGTTATAAAGGGTTAGACATGGCCTTCGAATTAACGTCGGAAACGTTATTGTAAAAAAGTAATCTTTAAACTTGCAATTATTATTAGTAATTTTTGAGTCTACTAAAATTGTCAAAGAACTTAGTTGGTCTTCTTCTTACTCTCTCTCTTCTTATTTTATAATTATCAGTAAGATTAAAAAATTTTAAGATTTTGTATTTATGCAAAATACCATTAGCAGGTGGGTCATAAGGTCAAAACTGAAAATACGAAATACTACTTATATTCTGCGGCGTTGCGTCGAATACAGCCAAAATCTCAATCGTTGATAAAGTAGATTCGATGAATGAAACATGTTTAAATTTAATCTTAAATAAACACGTATTTACATTTTGTATATGTATCTATTTTGTATAATAATAAACAAACAGACAAATTGCTACACAACATATGAAAACTAATGATGATCTAAACCTAAAGGATTGCACTTTGTGTAAAATTAAATTACACAATACACAATATTATTTTATGTGCAGCAAAAAATAAAGAAATATTGTTAAATACGGTCTGTCTAAATAATTCAAAAGTCTACATGAAACAAAATCATAATGAGTCCCACTCAATTTGTACTATTTACACGCTACATGGTTTCAGCAGTGTTTTTTTTTACAGAAAAACTGCCAAGACTGCACAGTTCACTCATTCTAAGGGTTCTAATCTAATCCATCAAACATTGACTATGATTGGATAAAAAATTATAGTGCTTGGTTTTCCTGCCTACTCTACAAGGGGCCTTAATTAAAAACATTAGAAATTATATTACAGGGATTATAAATAGATAATTTGTAAAGATTATTATTTGTATTTTTGAACAACACGTTCAACTTAGTTTAAATTGTTGAAAGGAATCTATTATAATATTATAAACAGGTAAGATTTGATATTTTGTAATGGAATTGTTTTTGAAATTGACTGAGGGTAAGCGTTGTCTTAATAAATGAACAAGTCTATGGATATCACGTTATCATGCGTTGCCATTCCAGGTGGCTAGACGTCAGCGTTTGATTCTGTAAATTCACTGTCTCGTTCTTTACAACCGAAGCTAACACATGCTGCTTGGCGGCTGAAATAAGTAAATGACCTACGAAGATGACTTTTTACAGTCTACCTCTAGGAGTAACATAGATTGTATTCAACTAAAGCTGATAGCGGAATATAGCCAGATATAAATTGTATTGCTTGCAGGACGATAAGATAATGAATATAATAATACCACAGAACAATTCACATATCCCCATTTAATTTCAAACTAAGCAGAGCTCGTGTTATGGATACTAGACAGATATACATAGCATAGATACATTTTTTTGTAAATACATAACATAAACACCCGGATTGATACATAATATTCATGAATACAAAATGTTTGTACTGAGCGAGGAAGCGAATCCGCGACCATCGCATAGAAGGCACTGTGCTACACTGCTAGACCATCGAGACTTGATATTATAAACGAATCTTTATTGAATAAAACATAACTTTCGGTAGCTTTTGCTATTTCACTATGGGCTCCTAAAAGTGTCTAACATAGTTACATATATACATAGTAACTTTATGTTATATAACAATACAAATATTGCGGCATTATTAGAATGTATTCATAATTTGTAGGTACATAATGTTTTAATCCTGACGGCCTCCATGACTAAGTAGTGGTAGACACACTATGATTACACAAATAGTACTGAATTCAATCTTGGGCAGACTAATTTAAAAGCCTTAGGGGAAAGGGAATGTTAGTAATGTGAACCTAGTAATATGTGAATAACCTCATTGTTCTGGTAGCGGCATATTTTAAGGAAGACCTCTAGCATCCATCAGGAAACACTGCAGTCACTTCCATACAGTAGTATGGAGGATGTCTATACAAATATACATCCAGACAGATCGAAATTTTAAAAGCTATTTTTTTAAAGAATGTCCCTCATATTATATTTTTTCAATAACCATAATGTACGTAGATCGACCTGTTACAATTATATTGTATATAGATGTAATTGCTACCGATTATTTTATTAATATTTGTTATATTAGAGTTGTCTCTAATTAATATTGTAACTGTATCTAAAAGTACATAAAGTTTAGGTACATAATATACCTAATAATGACATACTGTAACACACAATACATACTCTTTTTAATTTAATTAGTTAAATATTTTTTGTACATATATATCTACATAATATATATAGAAAACACCCAGAATGACAAAAATAATCATGTACAGGAATATAAATATTTGCACTGTGCGATGAATCGAACTCGCGATCATCGGAAGTGAATCAGCTTTAACCGCAACACTATCGAGGCCGTCAATCTTACATTAATTTTTTTGCGATGATTGTATGTGATTGGTTTTTTTCTATTAGAATATTCGGTATATTCGGGATCAATACCTGTATTAAAATCATTGTTCTTACCTTAAAGTATGAGTTTCATAAAGTTAAGTAAATCTGATACAGATATTATGTGTGTACATGTAAATAATGCCCCGTCTCGTAGTCATCGCTGTAATTATAATATGACTTAATGTGCATACGACGTTCGCGTTTTATGCTCTAAATATTCAGCGAGGTTTACATTACGTCACATTCTGTATGAAGTAACAGAAATTATAGAAAAATAAGGTCGGCTGGGAAGTTTTTTTATAGTATTGTATATTTCAATATTTCTTCAGAGGTCTGAATAATTATAGTTCATCTAATTTATTACCTTTTTAGGTATAAAATGAACATCACAAGAAGAACGAGCAAGATACTTGCGTGTTGCTCTTTTAAATTATTTTATTATTACTTTACATTTTTAAGTTTAAGTAAAAATATTGAATATATAACCAACTGGTTAAACAATTAATAAGAGGAAATCAGTCATAGTTATTAGAGCAGACCAGTCCCTACAAGCAGCACCCGTTCACGAGTATGACGGATGAGATGAAACCGATTTGGTAGTTACTAGATAATAATTAATCTCTAAGTATTAACAAATTCTATTAATTTGTTTTACAAACAAATTGTTAGAAGTTGGAACTTAAATTCACTCACAATCAACAGTATTTTATTGTTGAATATCATCACCAAATTGAACAAATTATGATAATTTTCTTTGCAAACGATACAGTTTATTGCTTTTTGGAATTAATAATAGAATTCATGTTTTCAGTCGAAAGGCTTTGTAACCTGTGCATCGGTTGTAGGTGTGATTCCTAGTGATTAGTGTGATTAAATAGTGAGTAGTGTGTCGTGGCACCCCGTCACGACATATGCTGAGCGGAGACCTAGTTGGTACTCTAATTATTAATATAAAATGTAAATTAAATTTTAAAAATTATTTTCAGTGTATAAATAAACAATTTTCTTTCTTTCTTTTCTTTCTTTGATTGGACTGTGAAATTATATGATAAATGTAATGACAACACATGAATGCTGTGACATTTACCATCAATGCAACAGATGGTTTGCCTTATAATTACCTTTAAAAAACTTTATCGTTGGTTATTCTAAATTTCTATCTATCTAGGTATTAGTCATATAGATGAGATATACAATTTTAGATTATTTTATCTTAGGACAATTCACACAGCGCCAAGATAAGCAGAACTTGTGTCATGGATACTAGACAACATATAATAATAATAATAATCTCAGGACAATTCACACAGCGCCATCTACTCCCAATTTAAGCTATCTAAAGCTTGTGGGTACTAGATAACTGATACAAGTACATAGATATTTTTTTTTCGTAAATACATACATATTATACATAGAAAACACCCAGACCGATACAATCATACTCATGCATACAAATGTTTGTGCCGTGCGATGAATCGAACCCGCGACCATCGGACGTAAAGCGGTGTGCTGGACTGCTAGATCACCGAGGTCGTCTACATATAAATACATATATGCGCTTTTTATTTGTAAATGCATAACATACGCAGACCAATACAAACAATTATACTTAAGAATACATATGTAAGTACCGTACGGGGAAACGAACCCACGAGCAATAGAAAGTAAGACGGTGTTCTAAACCGCCAAGAGTAAGACCACCGGGCCCGTCTATCCTTAGACACAACCATTACATAGTATAAAATAAAGTCGCTGTCGGTGTCTGCCCGTCCCTATGTATGCTTAAATTTTACTATGCTACGGATTTTGACGCGGTTTTTTTTTAATAGATAGAATGATTCTAGAGGATGGTTTAGGCATATATATAATATATGTACAGACGGATGAAGCCGGGGCGAGTAGCTAGTATTTAATAATAATACTAATAACACTGGATAATGCACACACCGCATCATATTTCGTTCATTCAAACTTGTGGCGGCGTGGTGGGCAGGGTCGATGTGCTCCCTCAAATGTGGTTGAGTGCAATGATAGCTGGCTCATCCGTCATACTCGTGAACGGGTGCTGCTTGTGGGGACTGGTCTGTTCAGGTTGTGAACACTGATTAAATTTTTTGTTCTTTGCGATAGCATATGCTGGTGGTCACTCTATTCTCCCAATTTTGAATTTTAATGACTGTGTATATTATAAACATGTTCCACTATTATTTGAAAAAATACGAGCTGAGTTTCTTGTCAGTTCTTCTCATCTCGATATCATTCCGAACTGACGGTAGATTTGACATATCATAAGAGTCTGTAATAGATCTACATGAATAAAGATAATTTGAATTTGAATTTGAATTTCTTTTTAGCTTCAGAATATCGTCCACCTATTATTCGACCAATAAAACCAGACCAACAGTAAGAAAACCAAAAATAGGTACCTACATGTAAACAAAACGAAAGTGTTTATGCAAACGGTTATGCGGAATTTGAGTCAGTAGTATACAACCGCAGTTGTTTACCAGCACAATGTCTTCCCCATGATCGCGAGCTGATTTGAACTACAAAGCGTAACGGACCACAAGTATTGCGTAAATTGACGACAAACGACAATGATGTTTCCCCATACGATTGTTTTCGGACACCGGAACGCTATCTATATAGTATACACACTGTGGAAGACATCAGTAACGTTGGAGACAAGATGAGTAACACTATACTGATTGTTGGTATTCTTTTTTTTGTGACGTGCACCACAGCCGACTATGGGAGCGATGGGTAAGATTAGATGGTAAATTATAATAATAACTAGCTGTGCTATTTCTGTAAAGTTTCATCAAAATCCGTTCAGCAGTAATCAGTTTCGCATTTATAATATTAGTAAGATAAACATCCAGGACAATTCAAACAGCACCATCTAGTTTTATTTAGTTTGAAATGAAGCAGAAATAGAATACATGTATTATATATATAAACCTTCCTCTTGGATCGCTCTACCCATTAATAAAAACCATTTCAAAATCCGTTGCGTAGTTTTAAAGATTTAAGCATACATAGGAATGGACAGACAGCGACAGCAACTTTGTTTTATACTATGTAATGATTTAATTAAACTCAATACAAGCACTTTTGAACAATCATATTTTTTGTTCTACCATTGCTACCAGAGTACTATGGCTTCTAAATAGCTAACAGAAATACTTAAATATATTTTTGTGAACTTTTGTAAATACAAACATAATATGAATAGAAAAATGCAAAACAAATTCTTATTTCATGAATACAAATGTTTATATCGTGCGAGAATCGAACTCGCAACCAAGGCGATGTGTTAAACTGTTAGACCACCGAGGCCATCGAGTGATGCTATGTATTTATTACTAGCTGTGCCCGCGACTTCGTGCGTGCGCGTAACAATGTAAGTTTGAAGCTTCTAGGTTTAAAACAGGCGATACTTCCATACAACCCTTCATTTCCCGTTACAACCCCTTATAATCCTTTTCTTTATTTATATTCAATCAATAGCCCAATAAGTTTAAAGCCTCTAGCTCTAAAAATGACGATACTTCTATACAAACTTTCACCTCACCTTTCAACCCTTTTTGCGCATTAAAAAGTAGCCAATGTCTTCTCTTAGGATCTGTAGGTTTTAGGATTTGTGTACCAAATTTCAAATAAATCGGTTCTGTAGTTTGGGCATCAAAGCGACACGGACAGACACAGTTACTTTCTCATTTATTATGTTAGTAAGGAGGAAGAAAATATGTTGCAATGTTATTTCTAACGTCATTTGTATGAACTAATAATATTATCATGTACATTTTTAAATCAATTAAAATAAATATACTAAGAAGAAGGATAGACGTCTCTCTGTCTTATATAAACTAGGCTTTTAACTAGGCCTATGAACTTTATTATTGATAATTAGGTATTTCTTATCATTTATACCTGTAATAATATAAGAACCTAAGATCCAAGAAGACTAAGTTGATAATCGATTTCAGTTTGGATTTCAGAGGTTTTCTGCCTAGCTCCGGATATCAACGAACCGAGGATCAGTTAGCAGAACCTTCAGCAAGAGTCGAGAAGAGTAGAGATGATAGGGACAGCTCGCCGGAGAGAACGCAGAGGTTTGGGATATCAGCATATGGAAGTACTGGTACGCAGGTAAATGTGAATTAAGCGATTGCAACCAATTTTGATATTTGATTTGTTACGGATGACAAGAAATTAAATTAAAAGAGAAATATATAATCATTATTAAAATTAAACCGAAACGAGCTAGAAACTTGGGTGTTGATTTTTTAAATTGTGTTTTTTTTCAGGGTGGTTATGGTGGTTCAGCCCCTGGACTATATGGACCTGTAAAAATTGACTTGGGTGGAGTTTTAGTAGGAACTATATTAGGGTTTGGCGCTGTAATCATCTTGCCCAAGATAATAAATGCATTATCCTATGGATACGGAGGAGGTTATGGGCGAAGTAAGTACCTATTTTTAAAAGTAAAAATTTCGGCCAATAATGTTTATAAATAATTTTAGTAAGTATGTAATGTTACACGATATTTTTATTCGTATAATCAGTGCAATTCCAGACTAACGTCAGATTCGTTTAAAGTTTTTATTGATAATTAATCATTTTTACTAATTGATCGAGTTTATCTTATCATAAGATATACTCAATCAATTAGTAATAATTCTCATTAAGAATTCTCACATCTAGGAATTGAGCACATCTAGGTTTCTATAACTTATCTTACTAATATTATAAATGCGAAAGTTTATGAGTATGGATTGATGGATGAATGAATGTTTGTTACTTTTTGAAACAAAAACTACTGAACGTATTTAGATGAAATATTACAATAATATAGCCTATAATCAGAATAACACATAGTTCTTATATTTCTTTGTAGGTAGTTTGAATCTATAAGAAATATAGGAAATTTATAACATTTATTATATTTTCTATTTCCTCAGGCGTTGAAACAGATGTTGGACAACTAACAGATATGTTAAATAAGTTGGACGATACTCTCAGCAGATACAACATAGATTCCTCTGCCTGCACACAGCGTTTGGCCTGCTCTTACGTACAGCTTGCAAATGAAAACATGATCACTGGTAACGCGACCGATTTCGATGCGCTGCTCTCTTCGTTGTCCAAGTGAGTTTCACTTCATTATCTGCCTTTACATAAATTTAATAAAAGAAATTATAAATTAAAGTAGTGGTAGAAGGGTGAACATTTAGGAGTGTATGTATTTTAATGCCATATTATTAAAAAATAAAAATATGGTCAAAGATTTTTTTTGCGGTGGGCCCTTATTCTTTAGGGGTATAAAAACATAAGAAACTAATGGTCAGAGCATTCGTTTCTTATTTGTTTTTGTAAAATAGGTTGGTATTTCACTACACCATCACTTGGTGGTTGGTATATTCGGTAGGTCTTTTTTATATACTATTCTTAGGTTATTTAAAATAAATGTTTTTCCCTAGCAATTCCCTGGTACGTCGCATGTTGGACGGTACATCAATTTTCGAGGCCATTTCAGCTGGAAAGTCCGTCGACAGCGACTGCCACGCACTCTACCCGAAGTGCAAGCTGGACAAGAAGACGGTGGTAAAAATACTGACGCAACTCGTACCGTAACGTTTATGTTGTAGTTGTACCAATTCAGTTTTGTTTTTGCAATAAATACATATAAAATTTAGTGTTTTATTTATTATTTAAATTTTTTTGTAAATTGTTGTGTAAATTTCAAGTCAATATAGAATTTAAGTTCAAGATACGAGAACATAAGCTATTATCATAATATCAAAATAGGTATCGGATTAGTCCAATTTTCGAGTAGGTGCGGCCAGTATTTCTAATGTAAAAGTAGTAAGTTACTCCTTATTACATCAGGTATCTGCCAAAATAAGTCCCGTCATTTCAGAGATTAGCCGGAACAGACAGATAGACAGTCAGACAAATATTGTAAAAAAATGTTATTTTGATATATGTACCGTATTTATATTCATATGCATGCAGTAAAAAACGGTTATTTCAATATTACATACAGACACTCCAATTTTATTTATATGTATAGATAAGCAATTTTGGATAGTCATATTTCTTTATTCTACTCCTCATTCCGAACGCAATCTCCACAAGAAGAATGAGCAAGAAACTTGCGAGTTACATATAAAAAAAAGTTCAATATTCCATTTTTAAGAATTTTGTGTAATAAAATGAAACCAAATTGTACAAATTTAACAATTTTATTTATTGAATAATGAACCTAATTACAATAGTGACGTGAAACCTATCTATTACATCATTTAACATAGTAATATACTTTCACGACAATTACTCCAGATGGGGTAGTTAGGGACATTTCTGTCACTGTCGATGTCACAAAAATACCCACATATCAATGTAAGGGTAGTATATTGGAATTCCACGTGGTAGGGGGAGAGTTCAATGCCGTCACTTTTTTATACCACGTGGTAAACGGTTAACGTAGCCTATGGACGCTTGAAACACCAGGGGTGTCACGTGCGCGTTACCGACCTTTAAGAAACCTTTTATACCGCCAGTTTGTTATATGTGTTTTCCAACACCGGACAGTCAGTCACAAATATAAATTTACAGTTCTAGGTCCGGCAGATACCAAGAGTTATTTTTTATACTACACATCTGTAGTATTTACTAGTTTTCGCCTATAGATGATTATTAGTTTACTCCTGTACAGTATATAAGTATATCTTTCCCAATGTTAAAAAACGATTTCTAGTACTATGTTTATAATTCTTGAATATGTAAACTCAATTTCATTTATAAACACAAGAATATTACTCAAAAAGTGGGTTTTACAAGGAGCGTAAATTCACAAAATGTAGGTGAGTTTATTACAAATAAAACATATCAATTATATACATTTATTATTAAAAAAACATGACATCAGATGATGTACAGTGGCAAATAAAAATTTGTTCTATAATAATAAAAATAAAGAAACTAAAATGCGTCAACGTCAGTTAATACATTGGTGCGGCGGCCGTGCATAAAATATGGTACTAATTAAATAAATACCAAGAATTACCATTACATTATGCATTGTAATCAAAGTAACTCTAATATATTTACAACAATTTATTTGTGATAAGGCCTATTACACTGTCATATACATAGGATCATATGTATAAACAGTCATAAATGCAAGTAAGGAATTAAAAGATATTTTAGTAGAACATTCTATAACTTAGTACTGTTTTTGTGTATATAGATTGTTTTAGATACGATCCCATATCTATGATAGTATAATAAGTAAACCTCATAGAGTCTAGAAGACTAGACATCATCGCATTTAAATATTGATCGTAATAAATTACCTTGTATACTCATAAGATCATTTCAAAATATCTACATATTATTGTAATAAATGCTTATTGGAAACGTTTGCTGTAACTGCATTATAATTGTAAATATTATAATAATGAAGTCCAGATACCCTATTAAATAATCATCATAATTTTCATGAGGGGCCAACGATTAAATGACGGTTTTGCAGGTAACCACACCTAACTTCTAGTAGTTGCAAGTTCGATTCCTCACACGACGCAAACATATTCACGAGTATGATTGTCGATACTCGCCTGGATGTTTTCTATGTATATTACGTATGTATTAAAAAAAATGTATTTAAGCATTCCTATCAATTGTTCAGTACTCACACACAAGCTCTGATAAGCTTGGGCCTAGTCTGCCTTAAATGGCTATTATGTAAATCATGTTGGCTATTATTAACTTAACAATTCAACTATAAGTATGTTTATATGCGCTAGGTTGAGTTATATAAAATTTGATGATAATAAATTATTCATATTATTTTGAGGTATTAGAAAGAATATGTGTTTACTCTTAAATAATAAAACAACAACAATTACAAACTAAAAATATATATAGATTGATTTATTTTATGAACGGCCTTATACAGACCCGAGCAGATGGCAGAATAACATTTCATTCCATTAATCGATTTAATATATGTATCGATTTCAAATCGCCATACAAATATCGATTTACGATGACTCGTAAGTTTAAAATACCCGAGTTTTTAAGTAAGAATTTTAGAAATAAGTTAGTAATATCGTATACTTCTTGATTTTCCCTGAAAGATTTATCCCATATTTTTTTAAACTAATAAAAACAATATAATAATTCTAAGACTAACATGATATAAAGTTCACCCTGCCGCGGCTGTCTGCATGATCCCGAGTATCTCAAAAACGACTGAACGGATTTTCATGCGTTTTTCACTCATTGGTAGAATAATTTCTGCGGAAGATTTAAGTGCATAAGCCTTCATTGGTTTTGAATAAATTAAATTATTTAATTCGCAGCTCGCACGTGTATTTACACGTGCGAGCTGGTTCGTAGTTAAAAATAAATATAATTGAGCATACTTTAACTTTATGTTACTTAATAAAAAATATTGTTTTATTTCGTTGATCTTCTTTATGATGGCACTAATGTTAAATTAATAAATATTCTAATATCTATAATAGGCTGCTATCTGCTCGAGTTTTAAAAATTTTTTTTATAGTTTCGAGCACATTTTGTAGAGCACAAACGTACATGCTCACAATACACAATCCATGAAAGAATATCACATTTGGATAGTTTAGAAGTATTTTTCTATTATAAAAACATACAACGGCGCCCATCCTAAAATGCTATTCTCTAAATGTCTCTATAGTCCACTAAATATGAGAAAATATCAGTATAACCACTCTAGAATCAATCCAATATTCAAAATATATAAAAATTAGATTTTATCCGTGAATTCCCCTGCACAAACTTTCATCCCTTATATATAGATTATCTTAAAAGATAAAAAATAGCCCATATTCATACTGGCAATACATTCTATTTATATTTACCAAATTTCATTAATACCTGTTCAGTCGTATAGTCACAAAAATGTAACAATAAGGCTGAAAGGTAGGCAGACTTCTCATTTCTAATTTCAACATATCTAAAAATATATCTTTTAGATTTGATATAGACATTCAATCTGGCGGAAATGTAAATTTAATATTCCTAAAATTAGTGAATTTTAGTTACAGAGAAAGGCATTTTAAAATTGGGCTTAATACAATATATTACATACATATAAAAGTACATTTTAACACTTAGTGTCTTGTCACTTTCAATCATATTAAAATATTAACTTGAAAAGAAAGAGAGAAAACATTTTAAATGCTAAAATACATTCATTAGACGTTTCACGTATCTATGAATAAGATACACTTTATTAAAATCAATGTCTTGTGAACATATTATATATATCATAATAAAATACATATTTGATATTTGTGTAACTTGCCTATTCCAATAATGGATATGTGAAAATTTATAAAAATAAAATATGACATAGCGAATATCGTTAGCTTGTGCCAACTCAACGAAAATTTCAGTCTACTGACTAAAAATGTGTTTTTGTTTCTATCCGTTATCTATTTGCTAACAAAATGTTTTGTATTCATAGTATATTGTCTGGTACAAATTCTCCGTTTAAAACACTATAATTTATTGAGGTAGACCTAAAAAGACGTCTAGTCATATTATGGATACCTCATCTATTGATGAGAAAGGCAATAAGCCTCAAAGCAGCTTGATTTGCTGTCTTTCGACAGAAGAACAATATCCAGGGTATATAGGTGTGAAACATTAGTTCTCCTAAATGACAACGTATTAGCAGTATGTGATGTTCATGGTATGTTTTATAGCATAGGGGACAAACCTGCTTGCGACTCACCGGACAGTCAGTGATTACAGCCGACCATGAGCATCCGCAACACCAGGGTAATGGCAAGTGCATCGCCGGCCTTTTAAGTAATAAGCTCTTTCCTTTAGATTTTAATATTATAAATTTAAATCATTGTACTATTCACACACAGCTTTCTCCCACCCACACTCACATCGGTCCTCTAGTGTTAGTTTCGATATATAAATTTAGAGTACTTATTTGAATAATTTGTAATATCCCGCGATATTGATGGCGCCACTGTCGTTTCCCCACCAATACGCATAGGGTATAAAGATGGGAAGGAGAAAGAGAGCGGTACCTCCTCCGATTGATCCTCCGTCCAATTCAAACACGGATCGAAATTACAACAACCTGAACCGAGGTTCGAACTCCTAGCGGTGCCCTCAGACTAAAGTCGTATTCGTCAGGTGGGAGTTGGCCTTCAGCCGCTCCATTAATTTTTTCGCGGGTTTGGAGTGCCATCTGCACTCGTCCCCGTCCGATGAAGCAGCATTAGAGTAGTAAAAAAAAAAAAGAGCGGCCTTTTCTGTCCGAGGCAGCCGAGACAACTGGACGTGGCTACACGTAACTATCGTGGAGCGTAATTTTGAAGACAAATAAAAATCAAGTACCGCTGCATTGACGTATCATTTCTAAAACTTCCCAATACTAGAGACTACGGTATGGAGATTTTCATTTGATATTAGTGCTATTATGTAAATAGGCGACGTTACCCCTGACCGTCAGGTGACAGTCTTGTTTATTGTTTCAATTAAAAAAAAAAAAATTGAGCCAATCAGCCATGGTCGATGGAAGACTAAAACATATTCTAACATTCGTCAACAATGAAAATATGAGCAATATTTTGATGAACTTTCAAAGTTCTTTTCACAACGTTATTTTAATAAGCACTTCTAATATTAACAATACAATGCGTATTGTTGAACTCCATTGTATTAAATATTTATTCTTAAATTGGATAATGCAATTAATTACATTTGTATTATTGTAAATAATGAAATAATATGTACAAGAAATATGAAGTTGCATTGTTCTGTTAATAAACTGCGTCCATAATTTAATTTAAAAAATTCGATTATTTACAGTATGCGCTTAAAGGTGGGTTTGAATCTGTATTATATACAGTGACAATAGTTAGTGGCTGTTTCGTATATTAATTTATCAACATTTCATATAGATTTTTTGCAATAACTTCTTATATTGTGTCGAAATTCAGTATTCGTCGAAACATTGATATTGTTGATTTCTAACATCGATCATCCCAGCTTGTAGAAACTGGACAGATACAGTTAAATCGCTAAAATATAATGTTTGACATTTTCATGAATAAAAGGATAACTATGACATTTATGTATAATACACGTAGTATAGTAATACGGCTTTCATAATTTGTACTGTACACGAGCCGCGGTGATATATATATGTAGTTATATACACATACATACAGCCTGGGCGTAGTCAAGTAATTAATATAAACTAAAAAAGGCAATGATTAAATCATGAGGAATTATCCCAATATAATTGACAGTATAGTAATTTTGGGAATTTTGGGAGTTACTTTTCGAAATTTACTGAAGAGTTTCTTTGGTATTTCACTGCAGAGTTACATTTTAAAATTTACTTAGAGCCTTCCAATGGGAAATTTACTAATTTGGGAACACTATAGTTTGAATTCGGAGAGACAAATTTCTTATCATTCCATGGCTTTATGGATTTCCGTGCAGTAGCCGGGTCCATCGTGTGGCAGTGAGAGAAACTCCGAGCGGTTCCCGGGACTTGTGACCCGGGCGTAGGTTTAAGGGGCCCCTTGACGACATACGTCAACACTCACCTTCACTGCTCGTATCTCTCCCTGTCCAGAATTTGGTAGGAGCCTACTAGTGCAGTTTTAGATACAAGTTCTAATATAGAACTTACTGCAGTTCTAGATAGGGCAAAATCTTTTAGAAGATTATAGAGATTTCGCTGGTATACCTCTCGTTCCCGCTCGTACCTTCGACCGCGTATAATTTGAAGTATCTATGCTGTATCAATTTTGTATACCCTTACAGAACGGATATACAAAATCGAATGTGACGCTAATGGATGAAACTTTCAATAATTAAACACTAGTATTTTATATAGATGGCAGCACAATAGCTCGAGATCGCAAGTAGTAACTGCAAACGACACTGTGGCAGTAAGCGAGTGGTGAAACTATTACATTACAAATCCTGTGGGTATAAAATTGTATATTTTCCTTACAAGTATTCGTGAAATGTATTACTTCATACCTTTTTCATTAAAGATATGGATAAGTGTAAATTTGTTCGATCATTGACATAGGAAATTGAAGAATGAGTTCGCATATGCCATTGGCTTGACATCAGGATGTGGCTGTAACAAAATAAATAATTAAATAAATATATTATTCACACCAGCTACGACTTGACGTCTCGGTGGTCTAGCGGTTTACCACACCGCCTTACTTCCGATGATCGCGGGTTCGATTCCACGCACGGTACAAACATTTCTATTTATGAGTATTACTGTTTGTATCGATTTGGGTGTTTTCTACGTATAATATGTATGTATTTACAAAAAAACCATATAACTATGTATTTGTATCAGTTATCTAGTACCCATAACACAAGCTTTAGCTAGCTAACAATTCACTCAGGGTCATCTAGACCTAAGTTAGGGTCTAGATGGCGCTGTGTGAATTGTTCCGAGTTTTTTTTATTATTATTATTGTTGTTGTATCAATATTTTAAAAAATATTGACATTGACGTTTTGTTATCATTTAAATATCGTGTAATATAATGGTAGTGTCACACACACTACCATTATATTACACGACTGATGACGTTTTATTTATAGATTTAAAGTATACATTATGTATAATTTAAAAAATAATAATAGGGTACTGCAATCCTTCTCTATATAAACTATAACAGTCTTATTACAAAAAATCTGTTAAAACTCGGACGAAACGTGGTCTAAATGGTCGTGGTTTAAACCATTCCTAAAGTTAATACTTGGAATAAACCTAACATTATTACGAATCCAGATCTAACAGAGGACTACTTAGTACTACAGTTAAATCGTTCATTATGTATTCCATACAGAAATCAGTCACTCATGTCTGTTACGTTCCGTTTTACCAGAAATATGAAAAGATAAAAAATAATATTACTTCAAATAAAAATGTATAAACTAAAAATAAATTTATTTCTATTTATCTATGTCTTCATTATAACTATTTCATTAATATATTATATTTGTTAATGTACTATTAGGCTGAAAATCAGTTTTAAATTACAAGTAGGAGTCCTATACGGAGAAAAGGAACGGCGGGATATTTTTATTGGATCGATTCGAATAGTGACTATTTCAAAGTCAAATGAGTGAAAAATTAACAAATAACGTCTTTTATATATTTTTATTATCGTAAAATTAGCTTTAAATATTTTTAGTTAATATATTTTTAATTTAGTTAAAATATTTTTCGAAAAACAACAATTTACAATACAATTTTTAAAATGGAGTTTGACTTTTTGCATTTAGACCACTGTTAAACTAGGGGCATCGCAGGTCTAACTTTAGACCATAGACGAATCACGATTTAGAGATAAACTTCATTTTGTAATAAGGAATACATTGGTGAATGGTTTATTACTAGTGCTAAACCAGGTTTATCTTTTTGTAATAAGGCCGTAAGTGTGCAAAATTTCATAATTTGCGTAATTTTCGTAAAAAGGTATATACAAAATTTTTGTTTCACGTATTAAGATATATAAAAAAATGAATACATACCACTGCTTCGTAGGATGTGAATTTAGGTGTAAGATCTTTGCCAGTCATTGTGATAAAAGCACCAAGGTTACCCATTGTATCACTGTCAACAATAAATAAAGAGAGTTATATACAACTTGGCTAGGCGAACTTAGCACTAAATCTCGGATTAGTTTGGTTTTTTATCATGTTTATAGTCGAAATAAAAATAGACTCAGTTTGTTGGTTGTAACAACATGCCGTTACGACTGGGTTCAAAGTCCAGACACGTCACAGATATGTATTTAGAGCATTATTTTATAAATGTATGATTATGCAATGGCACACTAGCCTGTGCTGACGGTTTTCGCTGGTGGGGCACCAGTGGAGGATGATGAGAGAAATATGAGGTAAGGTTAACCAGGGATTTAGCATGATGGTAACCACGGATGGATGTCAACCTGACATGGTACATTGCCAGTAATGGGGTTCTTAATCCACATTACAGACAATCCCCTATCCCCTTTTGTCGGAATTGTTTTTTCTTATTTTAATCGACGATAATGGAATTGTGTTGCGATAACAGTTTACGCTGGTGGGGCACCAGTGGAGGATGATAAAATGAGCATGAAGTGAAGTCAGTCAGTCAGGTCAGGCTAACTAGCATCAACATTATCATCCATAAAAAATACAACGTACAGTGGCTCAGTTGATTTTCATATCTGAGCCACGCCATTTATCGCTATATCCTTCATTAGAGAATCAGGCAGAAATATAAATTGTCAATTTTATTTATATTAATCTGAATTTGAACTCACGACCTGTCGGGCGTAATTCTTGAATACTGACCAGTAATTAGGCGCAGAGAACACGGTGATACACTTGCCGTCATGTGCCACCTCGTAGCCGTCATTCTTGACTTCGTGACTGCGGATCACGTACTCCAAGCCGTTGTGTTGCAAGAACCTCTCGGTTACGTCTGGTCCGAACTGGCAACCCACGCCGCGCTTCGACGGCGACCGCCCCAGCATCGGTTGTGGGTCGGACCATAGTAATTCACACATTATGCCTGCAAATTGATTAAAAGGATGTCAGTATTAATACAATAGTCCACATATTTCGCCATTGTTTTGGCATGCAAAATTTTAGTAATCTATTGAATAATACATTTTTAAATCAATTAATTTTTTATTAACTTGAAATAATTACATTATACTACAAAATTAAGTGTCAATCAATATTTATATACTATATATCAATAACTCCTAACTTATTTGTATAAAAACAATTGTCAATTAGCCAATTTTGGAATTAGTATTTAAAACATCATGGTCAAATCTTCAAAGTGCCAGGGGATTAAATATTCGTGAAACAATAGTTACATTTACCACCGAGGTCGTCAATGAAGTTTCTTGCTCCATAGTCCGCCATTTTTTATGATAATTAATTATTTAAAAAGCACGCACAATGGAATAATGCGGGAATGCAAGAGCTGGCGGCACGCGCGGTCTTTCTTGTTCTTTGTCAACATTTAAATGCACATTCTTTCCTGCGTGAAAGCCTATTCGCATCTGAAGGAGCATACGTGTAAAGACATCTAATAATAATTGAACCATACCATCTTCAGGAGGTTGCGTATTTCTGTTCACTTTTCTGATATCGTCCAGCGTGACGTCATCCTTGGAGAACAGTCCACCATGCATCACCAACACTTTATTATTTATACAATGCGCTAGAGGTAGCCAGTTGTAGACCTCCGTGAAGAGGTCCGCCATATGAGCGGTGTACTTGGAAGTCACTTCGCCTCGGAAGCCGTAAGCGCGGTTCATGTCCAACGTTTCGTGGTTACCTGGCGTAATAAATTTATTGATGTTCAATTTATTGGAATTCTAGGGAATACCACGTACCTATTTTTTACCCAACATAAAATATAGGTACGTTTTCATTTTCCTTATACCTCGAGTAGGTACCTACTTACAGAGACGCCTATTTCTGCCGCTAATCGTGATACTTTATAAACTATGTTTTTGATTTATCGATGAGATGTGTTAGTGGAATTACATAAGTGAAATGAATATGCATTCAGTGTATATCGGGCCTAATAAGACGACGTTATAACCGTGTTACCGGTTGCCCACTGCAATCAGGTTAGCTTGTTGGTCATTCCATCGCTAATTTACGTCACATGAATTTCATAAACTCCCCCCCCCTCCCCTCCCCTCGTCACAGCTGATCTCCCGTATCGAAGATTTTCGCTCCATAGAGGACATAACATATTTACAATTTTACATATATTTAAATTAAAAATCAAAAGTATTATTTAATTAATTCATTATTTTAAATAATTAAAATTGTAATTGTGACATAATTATCTGTTGACATTAATATTGACATGTTATTGTGTAACGAACTATGTTATACATTTGTAAATAAAAAATAATTTTATTTTTGTCCATATTTTATTTTGGCTAGGCTTCCAAACTAAATCCAAACTATTCATTGCTTTATAATGCCTCGGGTTTTCTGGGTTAAATATGATGTGTGTGTGATGTCGTGGAATTGAGATTTCTAATTTGATAATATATTCTCACAACATTATGAAAAGATTCACGACATTATGATTCCTTCCAACCCTTGTCACACTGTGATACACTTCATCGAACTCCTTTAAAGTGTTATGTAATTTATAGATAATAATGATTACATAAAAAAATATATGACACTCACCTCTTGACATAAAAAAGTGGTTAGGAAATAGTAGCTTGAAACTAAACAATGTGAATATACATTCTACACTGAATGAGCCTCGGTCTACGAAGTCACCGTTAAACAGGTACGGGTTCTTCTCTGACGGCAGTCCGTTCAATTGGAATATGTTCATCAGGTCGTAGAACTGTCCGTGAATATCTCCACAGACTGTGAACTTCTCATCATCTGGCACTTTGATGTCAACGAGAGAACACTGTTTTTGTAAATACGCTTTAACGTCGATTAAGATCTGACAACAAAAAAAAGCGTATAAGTAAATGTTATACAAATATAGAATTCTCATGTTAGTTACCATACTCCTCCTAAACGGCTTGGCCGTTTTGTATTAAATTTTATATGTATATTCAGTAAGTCTGAGAATTGGCTACTATTTTTCGTACCCCTAAGAGATAATGGTGGGCCGCTACTAACATTTCTTTTAATTTTTTGACCCGATATAGTTTTTAATGTCACATTATAAAAAAATAAAAATTTTGTGCAAAAAATTTTTACTCTACCATTAACCCCTATTTTTGAATAGCGATTTTAATTTATATGGCAAAACAACGTTGGTGGGGTCAGGTAGTGTTATATAAATATCGGCAAATGGGGAGAGAAGAGATTGTTAGTGTAATGGGGACTGGCCACGATTTGGCGTAAAAATAAATGGCGTCACGAGCACAAATATATGCTATCTTTTGTCACAAAAATCTGGGGGAGTTGGAGCTTCCAGATTATTTTTTTAGAAATCATGGTCTAAGTTTGTGTGATGAATCAAGAATAACAGTCATTCTTATAACTACAAGAAACAGTTTATATATATAAAATACCTTATAAGCATATTTCTTGTGTAGTTTCTTTTGTTGTTTATAATGTTCCATGAGTTCAGTAACAAACTTCAAAGTTACTTTACCATCCTCCAGGGATGGTCCCTCATACTCGTCTTCAATGGCTGTGAGTAGAGAAATAATATTTTAGACACCTTTAATAAGATTAGATACACTTGTACATCATCATCATTACATAGTATAAAATAAAGTTGCTGTCGCTGTCTGTCCCTATGTATGTTTAAATCTTACTAAAGACTGACTGAAGTAGCAATCATAAAAAAACAATCGAATTGAAAACCTCCACTTTGAAGTAGGTTAATAATAATATATTCTATAATAATAAAATTCAAAACTAATATATTAATAGTAATTCATTAGATTACTATAAATATAATAACATATATAAATGTAATGGTTTATCTTCAGATATAAAAATCACACCTAAGATAGAATGATAAGAGCATTTATCTACTTAATAAGGCAACAACCTTATTATCAACAGAGCAGAATTTAAATTAGGTCAGCAATGAACACATTATACAAACATATGGATAATAAAACACATTTATTTTTACATTATTAAATTGAGTGTCTATTATGTTTATAAAAAAAATGTATTCACATCAGTTGCCTAGTAGCCATAGTACAAGCTCTGCTTAGGAGTAGATCTCTAGGAGTTGATAGATGGTGCAGTGTGATATGACCTGAGTAGTTGGTTTATAATAAAAACTATTTAAAATTTGGCACCGTCATTATACGTAAAATTAAAAAAATCACGAATACCATGAGCAATATTTTTTTTTTTTTTTATCAAAGCTCAAAAGTGTTTTAAACATAAATTAGTATGTACTAATTGGGAAGTAACATTTACTTAGTGAATTAAATGTTGTGACAATACTTGCTGTTAATAAGTAATTCTTAGTCGTAATTTTATTTAGTTGTAATATGTTTATATTAACTACCCGCCCCGGCTTCGCATGAATACTGTATTATACATATAAACATTCTTCATGAATCACTGTTGAATATTTTAAAAGATGTAAGCGATCATACTTACTTACTTTTAGCAAAGATTTAGATTACTTAATTTTAGCAAAGAAGAAATAGCGATATTTTTATAATAATTTAACAACTATTATAATATAATAATTAAATTTATTTATGTTAAGTATACTATATAATTCATTTTGTAAATTTTAGATGAGTAAAATTACAGAAAATAATAAAGAAAATATTATATCTATGATATTGTTATTAAAGTATTATATAAATGATTTATCACTTACTCATAACATCTAAATTAATGGAGTCTGCTAAATTGACTTCTTTCTTATCCACAGAGATGGCTTTTTCGAATGCAATTTTTTTTACAATTTTGTTGCATTCATTAAATTTTACCTTTGCATCTTGATCATTTGGCCTAACTTTGGTTACCTGAAACACATAATATATACATATATGTATAATATTCATATTGTATTAGCAATTAATCACTACTTTTCCTGCATTTCTTTACATAAAAGATAGCCAATATCAATATACCTTTACTTAAAATTTGTTCAATAGTGAAAAAGAAATGGTCATACTTTCTCATTTATAATATTACTATATAGACTTTATAAAAAAAAGCCTCATAGATTATTAAATACATGAAATTGATTTTCATCTACAGGATTGCAAAGGGTAAGGCCAAGACTAAACACAGGTATAAATAAAACTGAACCATATTCACAAAGAAGTAAAGTAGAAATTAGAAAGAAATATTGAATGTTTTATACCACAATTAGTGCTAGTTGGTGGTTTGTATTCACATTTTTCGACTTAAAAATGTAAAGTTACAATAATTATTTAATAGTGCAACATTCTAGCTCATTTTTCTTATGATGAGAGTGCTTTCGGAATAAACGGTGGATTTAAAAAAAAAAAACTATAACTATTCAATAGTGCTGTTAACTAAGTTTATTTGAATAAAAGATTTTCTATTTAATTCTATTTTTATTTTACAAATAATGCAATTATGTAGTACTTATGTATGACCATTTAAAAAAAATATTTTATAGGATTTGGAAGAGCAAACAAGACGATAGTTCAAGGAATATGAATATTATATACATTATAAAAAAAAATGGATGGATCTAAAGTATAATGCACAGAAAATACAAAATCATAACACAATTATACAAATATATTCTACATAAATTTTGAAATGATACTAATGGTACCGAACTCATAAGGAAAATAAATAACATTTTACCTATATGATTTGTAGATATATGTAATATGCACCATATTTACACAACCATTTTTTGTTATATTATTATAATTGTCCAAGTAGTAGTCATATCATTTAATAAGTTTCTAATTTTACTATCTGAATTGGAACTTTTTATAGTGTTTTACTATTTCTATCTACTAATCTATAGTAATAGAAATAATCTTTATTCAAATACACTTAATACAAGCACTTTTAAATTGTCATATTTTTTTATTCTACCACTCCTTCAGATTGCATTGCATTCTTTTTGTGATGAGCCCATCACAATGATGAGCACGAAACTTGTGTGCTGCTCTTTTGAGTAAAGTTAGAAAATTATTTTAAATAAATAAATCAAATCAAATCAAATCCTCCTTTGTTAACATTAGTTGTCATTAATATACTTACAAATGTATTTAAGTGCAATAAAAAATATTTATAAATAAACAGTAACAAGAAAGAGGCATGCGATAATCAGCATACAAGTGATTCTTAGTGAAATCAGGTAATATTGTGTGATTATGCAATTAGCTGTATAATTTCATCAACCATCTTTATGTCTCTATCAGTTTGGTTCAATTTTTTTATACATCCATCGTCATAAATAATTGGTTAGATTTTGTGACATCAGTATATAACTGTTATAGATTCTACAAATACAATATACAACTGTTAACATAATAACAACATAATAGCAGTACATTAGGTACAGGCGGTATATCCTTCTATCAAATAAAACACCTAAATCTTTGGGAATATTAAAAGATAAGGCCACACAAATTATTATGTATTACTTAAGTAAATACATGGTCAATTACCACTATCTGTCCATTGAAGCATGCAGCTCCTTTGGCATTCTCAATAAAATAAATATATAATAATACTTACATATTCAAAATCCTTAAGTGCTAGTTTATATTTTCCTAGAAACATATGAGCCGCCGCCCGTCTGTAATAGGCCTTAGTATAAGCCCTATCCAACTCTATCGCTTTCGACGCGTCGCTCAAGGCATACCCAAAGTTTTCCAATCGCAGATTCGCTATACTCCTATTTGCGAAAAAAACCGCATTTTTCGAGTTCTTCTCTATTGCTTTCGTATATAATTCAATAGCAGAGTTGTAGTTCTGTTCTGAAATTTTGAGGTTATGTCAGTGAATATAAAATTATTACGGTTGTGATCGATATTACAATTCGACACATATCACTGACCCCGACGACACTAATAGCCCCAATACCGATAAAATTAACATATTAATATACTTACTTTTAAAAAATTCATTGGCTTCATTTTTCAATTTTTCCGCAGCCTCTATGTCTTCTTGTGACACAGGACCAGTGATTTCCGCGTTATTAGACATTGTTACGAGTTATTGTATTCGATAAAATAAAGCGTGACAAATTGAAGTATGGCCCTAATTATAAAAAATGTAATATTCTTACATCCATTAAAATGCTATTGAGAATTCATGAAAAATGAATTGATGACTGATGATAGTTGAATGAATGAAAGTTGAATTAATGAGTGGTGGTTTTTCTGTATGAATGACTGAAATGAAGTTCGTTTAATATGTTGCCAATATCAAAAATATATAAACGTGATGTAGATATCAATGTTAATCGGTAAATCGAGTGACTGTTAACTGACTATTGAACTTCATTAATATTATCTACAATTATTAATAAAGTTAAAACCTTGTTTGCATTTGAAAATGATTTTCTTTTTCTTATAGCGCCTATGTACTACGCAGTGTCTCATCTGTAGATCCAACATATCAGGTAGAAAATTTGGTTTTGTGGCAATTTGTCATGATTCGACAGATAGGCATAGTATTGATATTCATTCTACTATAATTTGTAAAAGCATTTATAGATTTCTGCCTGATTACACTAATAGTGGGATTATAATCCTGTTATTATTATTATTATCTCTTGTTATTAGAGACGGGACTAATAGTCCGATTGATACCAATATACCATGTCATGTCGATCCATATAGGGTCCCTCCTAGAAACCATAGTGGTTGTACGTTAGAGAATTCGCCATGATGCCAATTGAACTGACTTCATGCAAGTTCTAATCCTCCACAGGTGCGACGTACACTGCTAGCGCAGATGGATGCATTTCTTATTCATCGACATAAAAAAAAGTACACTAACTCTTAGACACAGTGACGCTTATAACAAACATTCGAAACCTTAATGGATGATGTAAGTTTTTAGTGGATGACTATGTTGAGCATCAGGTTAGGTCAATAAGCCCATCGTGGTAATTTATCTCAAAGGTGTTGATGAGATCTCTCCGATGTTGTATTTTATAGATGCTTTTTATATCCTGTTGTAGTTTGATCTATTGTCAATAGATGGCGTACGAAGTCGTGGGGTTACGACTAGTATAATAATGATGCATTGTATTTATTTCTGAGTTTTTATGAAAGTACAATAATACAATAGAATGATGTAATTTTTTTTATTACCTATATATAAAACAATTTTTCGTGTTATCATTTACAATAAATAATACTTGTATTAGTTCCTATTTATGACGAATCAAACAACTTGAGAGTAATACTGCTTTTGACCCATGTAGGTAATTTTTATATTGTATAAATATAAAACTTAATACTTATTAGCTATATTTATATTTTATTATACAAATGATAGTATCTGTATGGCTAAGCAAACTATTAACATTATACTACTGCTTTGGATTAATATAGAAGAATCGGGCTCATCGCAGTCTTCGTACTGTACGATATCGATGAAGTATGGCTGGTGAAGTTCTTCTCTTGTGCTCATGTATGCATTGACGGCTTCTGTACTCTCTGGCGACATTACTCGTGTACGACTCAGCTTCCACGCGCCAACTGTTGAATGAATGGTATATGTAACGATTTTGTTTTAAATGTTTAATTATTCTTCGTTTATCATATATACATACGTGGTGATCTTATGTTTTTATTTAATTGGAATTGAAAACAAGTTTACGTCCAACCTAATGATATTCATAATAATATAATTTTATTTGTAAATGATTTTGGGTACGTACATTACATATATGTATGATGTTATTGAAAACGTGGCCCTTGCCTTGCCTAAAAATCTGTTTATATCAAGCGTACAAATCTTTAAGTGTTAAATTATTGACTAATTCTGATGTTATCATGTGATACCCACGATACCACTCATGCTTTTCCATTTCAGAGGACTAAGATGTCATGTCTTTTATCTTGTCATTTCTCTGCATAGCCGAAACAACTTACTAAACCTTTTTAAGGCAAGTCCCCAAAAGATTCGATGAATTTGCGCAGGCCTCAGATGGTACACTTTTATATGTAAGCATAGTACTCTACATATCATTTATAAAATTTATAACGTTTTGTCATTTTCAATTAAATTAAAATGTTATTTGAAGGAAAGAGACAAAACAGGTTAGGTTCGTGATTTTTAGAAACAAAATAATATATCGTACTAGTATTTTTTTCTCGTTTGTCGAGATGTTGTATCCCCGGTATTTTTAGGCGACATTTTCTATAATATTTCTCGTTACTACTACATATATGTATGTACACTAATTACGTTATTTTATGTGTATGTTCCGCTTTTAAACGTTATTAATTTGAAAACAATATAGTATAAATACACTCACCGGCTCTGTTGTATTCGTCAATGTTGGTACAACTGTACAACAGAGAGTAATTTGCATAGTCAGTTGTCAATACGTATAGTTCCAATGTTGTGGTTTCTGAAAATAAATAATAATAAATATCATGAAATAAGCATGCATAAAATTGCGGCATAGTGGTTTTTAACTTCTTATACCGAAAGGTCGAGAGTTAAATCTCGGTCGGTCTTTCGGTACAATAAAAATTGCGGAAAATGATATTTTTAACTCTCTGGTGTCGGAAACAGCGACAAATATCTAAATTAGTATGAGATATAACGGTGGCTACTAAACGAAAACTGGGCGTATCCAGTTCAAAGTTCACCACGACGCTACGTCTAAGGCTGATGCTTCAGACTATCATTTTTAGGGTAAAAGTCGTGAGTATATATCATTATTGAAAATAAATAATTAAGTACAAAACTAGTTTAATTTCTCGTTTCCTTTAATCCGAGAAGTACAGATTAAATAGTAACCGCAAGCGTATATTGAAAAGTAGCTATTTTTATATAATACCTTCTATAATGTCTACATCCTTTACAAACATCTGTATACTAATAAGTGTGAGAGAGATAAAAATACTATTCTCACCGTTAGTATCTGCATCTAGCAATTCCATTATCAGTTTCGCGCTTCCATCATCTGTGGTAATTGTGACATTTCCTTCGACTGTTATTAGCTCGTCATCGATTACCGCCCAGTTCAGGACAGTCAGGATACCTGTTTCTATATCCAGGTTATATTCGGTTCCTATACAGGTACCTCTTTCGTTTTCATGGGGATATCTCTCAGTTTGATACCATCTTCCAGTGTACTGTGGGGATAAGACGAGTTTATTTAATATCTTCGCTGCGGTAAGTAAAACCATAAAAATTCACCAGGAGCGGCGGCGCGGCGGGGGCTTGAATTGCTTCCCTAACAATAGTTCCTCCAGTGTATAGCAGGTCGTTCTCGGCCCACCAGCACTAGTGTAGATTAATTCTATATATAAGTAATGCTATAATTGCTTGAAAATGTACTGTACATTTTCAAGAAGATATAATTATCAATGGGCGTATCCAGTTCGTTCACCACGACGCTACGTCTAAGGCTGATGCTTCAGACTACAAAATAACATATATTGGCTATGAGAGAGATCACAATTCCATTATCAATCCCGCGGTAACAAAATAACATATAGGCTATTCACGCGGGTGAACCGCGTGAATAGCCTATATGTTATTTTGATGTATAAGCTATATTATTATAAAATTTTATTAAAATCTATTTAGTAGTTTTTGTGTGAAAGAGTAACAAACATCCATCCTCACTCACAAACTTCCGCTATATAATACCAGTAAGATACATTTTTGCAATTACATTCATAATATACATAGAAATCACTCAGACCGATACAAACAATCATATATCAACATAGCGAGGAATCGAACCCGCGATCATAGGAAGGCGGTGTGCTAACCCGTTAGACCATCGAGGCCGTCAATTTAATTTATAATATTATTACCTCTTCGATTTCAAAGTTCTGCTGCACGGGGATATTTTCATCGCACTGTCCAGGCAATATTATTTGTTGGCCGGACTGTTCAGGGTAGTGGAAGCAGGCGTTGTCACTTTGGTCAACATCGAGGTAGAATTTTGGGTAGAGTACTTCATTCTCCTCTATAAATTCTTCTATTGCGGTTTGAACCTCCGCGGGCAGTTCGACTGTACGATTTCGGCTATGCAACGCACTCCAAACTGAAAAAAATAAAATGAGCACCTTAAATATATAATAACTTTATGTACATTATATACTTAAAAATATTTATTAAATACATTATAACACATATCTTATTACATAACAATCTACCTAGTTCATCATTACGTAGTATAAAATAAAGGCTGTCGCTGTCTGTCTCTATGTATGCTTATATCTTTAAAACTACGCAACGGATTTGATGCGTTTTTTATAATAGATAGAATGATTCTAGAGGAAGGTTTTTATATATAACTAGCTTTTGCCCGCGGCTTCGTTCGCGTTAATTTATCCCCTTAGGGGTGGAATTTATCAAAATCCTTTCTTAGGGGATACCTGCTTTCATGCATGCAATGTCTCAGCCCGATCGGTTTAAAATTGACAAAGTTTCATACAAACTTTTATCCCCTATTTTATCGCCTTGGGGATAGAATTAAACAAAATTCTTAGCGGATGCCTACGTCATAATATCTACTTGCATGCCAAATTTCAGCCCGATCCGTCCAGTGGTTTGGGTTGTGCGTTGTTAGATCACTATGTCAGTCAGTTAGCTTTGAGTTATATATATTTAGATACATGTATACCCGTGCGAAGCCAGGCGAGTAGCTAGTCTAATATATAAAATTTTCGTGACACAGGTTTTGTCTTCTTACTCCTCCGAAACGACTTGACCGATTTTGATGAAATTTTATGTGTATTATATATTCAGTAGGTCTGAGAATAGGTTTATAAGAAATTTTTATACGCCTAAGTGTTAAGGGTGGATCTCTCCAAAATATTTTTTTACATTTTTTCGAATTTTTTTTTAAATATACATATTTATTACAAAGTTTGAGGGACAAACAACAACTTAAATATTCTTGGAAATAGATACGATTACATATACTTAGTTTAAGATTCATAATATTCTCCCTATCGCATCAAAATCCCCGTAAACCTGCAATCTGGGCCTATAGATCTAGATCTGCCTAGATGAATAAAATAAAAACTTTCAGCTTACCTCGTCTGTGTTCATTGTCGATGTTTTCACATGAGTACAGGAACGCATAATTTTCGTAATCTGTTGTCAGCACCCAAATTTCTGCAAAACAAGAATGTTATTATATATATAGAATATAAGTATATAATATTTAAATCTGACGCGGTCATTATTCATACGTATAATTAGTAAAAATCGCGGGATCTTACTACGTCTCATTTTTTTTATTGAGTTCCCAATATTTCGGCAGTGTTTCAACCGCCATGATCACTGGTAAACTGAAGAACAGTGGGTAGATGGTAAATAATTTTTATGGTAAAACTTTTTTGTAGTCATATAATAATTTTATATTTTTAATAGTAGGAACAAACGGAGACGTGTGAAGATAGACGAATATGTCTGCCCATAAAAAATATTTTATTTATGGTTTTTGAAACACTGCCGAAATATAAGTACTAGTAAACTATAAAAAGTGGTAAGATACCGTAATTACTAATTATACGTATATATAGAATGTAATTATACATTTCTTCCAGGCAATCTCATAATGGACAGGAGTGATAAAGTTTATTGTAACGTTTAATTTAAGAATTTTCAACATACCTTGCTGTTGTCCGTTACTTAATGTTCTAGTTAAGCGACCATTACTATTAGCCTGTACGGTTCCAGTAGTTATTTGTGCAGTGACGTCAAATATACCGGTATCAACCAGTTGGAACTGGCCATCGGAACTTTGGTAACGTGAACTGGTGCATTCACCACCACCTCCATCTCTCGGATAACTCTTGATTTCGTGCCACCAACCAAGGAACTAGATTGAAATAAGTTTTATTTATTTTGATTTGCGTTTATAACAATTTAGATGCTATATGAAAAAATTGAGAATCGAACCTGTTGTATATTGAAATTCTCTTGTCCAACAATATCTTGACACTGGCCTCTAAACACTGGCGCACGTTCTGGATCCACTTCTGGTACGTAGAAACAATCCTCCTCGTCTTGACTCGTTGGTGTATAATATTCTTCTATGAGACCTTGAGTGTCTAGAATAGTCTGGTCGATAATGTTGTTAGCTTGTTGGCTTAAGGAAAATGTTCTGCTAAGTTTCCAGCTGTGTACTAAAAAAAATAAGTTTTTTATGTCACTGTAATGGCAAATAGCTGAAGGCCCATTTCGTGGCTATTAGTAAGTGGTAACCATGCGGTTTATTATGTGAACATACTATATATATGTGAACTTTACTACAGACATCACGTTATCATGTAACGCCCGCGATACCCCTCATGCGTTGACATTCTGGAGGACTAAAATGTCATACTTCCAACCACACAAAATCAGAAATATGTAATGCTGAACATCATTCATTTTTAACAGCAACACATAAGTTTCTTAGCCGAATAAGCGGTAGAAAAATATATTACATGATTATTCAGAAATAATAAATTTACTTAAAAAATTATTTGTATTTATATAATCCTGTATATTCTCTGCTTTATCACATTCTACAACTGAAACACATTATGAAGCAAGCTACTTGGTGTCTGAAATAGATGAGTCTGAGGTATCCACAATGAGGTGACAAATGTACAGTCAAAAAATGTACAAACAAATCTCGGTGGTTATAAATGTAAGTTGGACACCATTTTCGGTAATCAGTCTCTCATCTGGGTCGTTGTACGTGTAGATCCGAGACTAATTTATCCAGCCAAGCTCCTCTTAAAAGCGCAGAAGACTCCTGGTGTCTTCACAGGCTTCACGGAGCGACCTCACCATTGAACTCAGTGCATAAATAATTTATTAATATATATTACTTTTTAAAATAATGCTGACTGACTAATCTGCACGCTCATAGCGTGTATTTACAAACTTAGTTTAATATTATTTGTGTACATAGAGCCTTCCACGTTTTATTTTTTATCACTATCTCTACCGTCTAAATCAGCTCGGCTAGCAACTTCACTTCTTGAGAGAAATACAGTATACCAAGCTGTGATACTTTAGCATACTACATTGATTATGTGATATATAATAATTTGTTTATATATGATAACAACCGAGGGTTGTCACTTTCAGTCAGATAAGGCAACATCTTGTTTGACAAGTAACTTAAAAAGTAGTGCCTTTTAAGTTCAAAGACATAAATGCGTTATGTTTCAAAAATAATTGACAGGCTCAGTGGTCTAGTGGTTTAGCACATCGCTTTACTATCCGATGGTCGTGGGTTCGATTCCTCGCACGGTACAAACATTTGTATTCATGAGTATGATTGTTTGTATCGGTCTGGGTGTTTTCTATGTATAATATGTATTAAAAAAAAATGTATCCATTTATTTTTTTCAGTTGTCTAGTACCCATAACACAAGCTCTGCTTATAGTGGGACTAGATGGCGCTGTGTGAATTGTCCTGAGATATTATTATAATAATTATTATTAATATTTCATTAATCAAATCAAAAAACGCTCCGGCATTATTACATTTCTATTAGTTAACGATAATTTCAAAAAGTATTGTACGGATTTTGATTTAGTTTTTATAGATCAACAGATTTTCTGAGAAAAGTTTAGGTGTATAATACGTTGAAGGGTTGTGTATAGTGTAGTGTATAGTATTCATTATAGTCTTGGAATACGTGTGCAAAGCCGGGGAGGTTCGCTTGTAATAGATAAAATAATAAAAAAAGTACCTTGTCTTCTTCCATCAGGTATATTGCTACAGGTGTACACGAGAGAATAGCTGTCGTAGTCAGTCGCGAGAATATAATAGTTGGCCACTGTTTCCACTAAAAAAATATATTCTAAATGTACATGTAAACTAAAACATAAATGTACACTAGTACAAAAATGAATCCCTTTTTCCCTTGGATATGGCTTCACTTGAAAACGTTATAACTGATCTCATTATTTTATATTCCTTATTTTGTAATATTTGTATAAGGTCCTTAGAAATATTTAGACACCTTTGATACTTGCATATTGTAAATTTGAATGCAGCGCTGAATATTCATAGCTAAGACATAACAACTTCCCTTGTAAAATATAAAATAAGCATTGACATAAATGTTTAATCAAATATTACGTTTAAAAACGTTATATTTGATTAAAATGCTATGTACAGCTTAATTATAAAGCCACTTTTAAGTAACTCTGCCTATTTTTTATTCTTCTATAAGTTTTTATTTTACTAAATTATTTGTTTATTATAAAACTGGAGTTTCTTTATGTTTCTGGTATACGGGGTTAATCGTGACTAAGCTGAAACCAGTGATAGTTTATGAAAAGATGAAAATTTATTATAAAATTTCTCTCGCTTGTTTAATGATTCAAATTTATAAGTCGATTTGAGTTGTAGGTTGTTACTAAATGTCTAAATTCAAAACTGTGCATAAACTCGCAAAAATTCAACTGATGGATTTCCATTTAATTGGTTTAAAACCAATTAAATGGAATGGAAAGTTATTTTAAAAAATGATAATTTTTTAAAATATTGAAGTCAATTTTATCGTTCAAATAGTGTCTAACATAATATTCACATTATAATATTTATGAGTAGTTTTTGAGAGTTACTATATCTCTTAAATTTTTACAATTAACCCCTTTAATGTAGATAATATCTGTTATTATAATGTGACACTTACCACCATCAATTAAGAATGTAACACTCAACATTCCACTGCCATCATCAGAAGATACAGTTGCAGATCCAAGCAGCGACAATAGCGTCCTATTAGACACCTGAGTACTATGTACTTCTAATATGCCATTCACTACGTCATATTCACTTCGATGGCAAGTACCAAATTGGAAAGGTTGAGGGTACTTCTCTATTTCGATCCATCTTCCCGCATACTGTTTAACATAGAACGAAATATTACTTCTAAATCAATCAAGGCCAACTACACATGCTGAAAAGTATTTTTTAATGCAAAGACAAAAGTAGCATTAGTTTAGAGGTATAATTAGATTGCGTATGTAAAAGAACCTATTTGTTATTATACAAATTATCATGCTAAAAGTGACGTATAGATGAAAATATTACGTAATGAAGTATAAGTAGTAAATAAACAACTAGAGACAATAAGGAGTCATTAGACAAGAATAAAGATGAAGAATTCATTGAAAAAGCAGCTGTAGCCAAAAAAACGAATAAAACGTGAAATAAAAGAAAATATGACATGCAATAGAACAAGCTATCATTGACTTCTGCAAGCAAAAGCAGGCAGAAGCCACTTTCGAGAGAAATAAATTGTTATGAAAACAAATAAATAGTTTTACCGGCATCCTGATTTTTATGATCTCTGTTGCTTATCAATCCCGCGAAAATGCTGCTAGTGAAAAACTAAATATATAGGTTTTAATTGTCGTTGGTAGAGTTACAAAGAAAACTTTGGAAACCCGCTGCTATTTTTAAAACATCTAAATTCCAAGCATTGTTTATTAATTTTAATAGGGGACTGAATCAATCCAAAATTCAATCCATCCATAATTGTAAGTGGTATAGCGTATAGCTAGCGCCTTAAATGTACCACTAAATTGTCAGACCAAAATCGCAAGTTCCGGTAGCTATTTTTAGAAATACTTAAGCTACTTTTGCTATATTGGCGCCCAAGACCCAACCCTGAAAGTCTCATGGTCTATCGACCGAGTTAGCCATGCCATATGGGATCCAATGTGGGACTTGAACCCAGGACCCATATATTTAGAAAATTTATGTTCTTTAGCTTATGAGTCCAAAGACCTAGGATTTTAAGACTATAGTACTTTTGCACCACACCATAGTTCGCAACTCAGAACGGCCAATTAAGTTCGCAGATCTATTACAAACTAGTTAGTTATTTTAGTTCGTTAACACAACTAGTTTACAGGTTAGTCAACCTGTATAGGTCGCCTATATCTCGCAATAAGTTACTTAAATGTACTAATATTCAAATATAAGTTCTAATTTTGTTAGCAAGATCTCTAAATTATTTTGATACAAACTAAGGACAGGAAATCTGCGAACTATTTATGTAGTTTGTCTTAGGAAGAAGTCTCCCGAAGAACTAGTCATAGAAGAAATAGTCGAGGACTACATAAACCACTAAAAAATGTACGGTAATGGCGTAGATAATACCAGCAGAGGATAATGTTTATTAAGACAATAAGTTGTCAAGACAATAAATTGTAAAATTGTATGTATTGAAATAAAAAGAACATGTCTAAAACTCCATTTTAATATAAGTCAGTAAATATTACAATAATATAATATGACCAGAACGATCATTTAGAATTAAACGATGAAAAATATTTAAATATTTTAATGTATATAGAAAAAGGCGGAGACATAATATGTTGATCAACTTATATTAAATTACAATAGATATGTGGTAATTACTGAGATCTTATTAATATTACAAACGCGACAATGTGTGAGTATGGATGGATGTTTGTTACTCTTTCACGCAAAATGTATTGAACAGATTTTAATGAAACTTTACAGTAATATAGATTATACATACGTAAACGAAACCGCGGGCACAGCTGGTATAAAATAATTGTATTTACAAAAATGTTTTTAAATTTGAACAAATCCAAACTGGGATTTGTGATGAGATGATGTAAATTTGTTTACAGTAAAATATGTGTCATTTCCTACGATTTAATATATATAAAATAAATTTATGTATGTACCAACAAATGGCCAATGTTTTTATATAAATAATATTATTCAATTATTTTTGTTTTTTTTTTTATTATCGATTAAATAAATAATAATAGTTAAATAATATTAACAATTAATACCACTGCTAATTCGAGGCATAACTTTTATTAATTTAAAAAGAAATAAAATAATGTGTATTACAAAACAGACTCTGAATTTTCAATAGTTGTATAGAGATTTATTATGAATTTTCTGTATAATAAGGTAATCACAGTGTGATTACAATACATTCCGATTTAAAAGCAATATGTTATTATTCTGTAATTGATCTGACATTCTGAATTTCTTTATATTGCGCCATGAAGTAAATGCAAGAAATACTTATATACATTCTCTTTCCAAATACATACATAGGATAAATAGAAAACACCTAGCACAATATAAACACTCATACTCATGATGAACGATTGTATCGCGCGAGGAATCGATCTCGCGATCGTCGGAAGTAAGGCGGTATGATAAACCGCTAGACTTCCAGGGGCGTCAAAGATTAATAAGTGTGCGTTTCTTAAAATAATTATTACAGAATGGATTATATACACTTACTCTATTGACATCGAAATTGCTGATTCCTCTTATTCTCTCGTCACATGGGCCGCGGAAAGTGATATAGTCGGGTAACTCGTTAAATCGAGGATAGTAAAAGCACGCGTCGTTGTTTTGGCCTGCGTCTTCGTAATAACCGGCCCAAAGATTTCTGTTGTTAGTGACTGCTTCGTCGATACGAGCTTTTGCTTGTGGAGAAAGCTCTGACTGGTGACGTCCTAGTTTCCAACTGAACACTGCGAAGATATACATTATATATAAATTTTTCATAACTCTAAGTGATAAGGGTTTTCCACCCCTAAAAATGTATTGTAATTTTTTGGACAATCTTTTTTATTTTTTTTGTAATGTGACAATAAAATACATACAACCCTAAATTTTCACCCTTCTACCATAAACCCCTATTTTTTAATAGCCATTTTAATTTATATGGCAAAACAACGTTTGTGGGACAGCTAGTATATATAGAATGTTTAAAAGGGTTCATTTCTAGTCCCAAGTTTCAAGTGTTCAACCTATTTTGTTGCGGTACACTTTTACCGATTTCAAAATTGTAAATTACAAAAATGATTTCCATACCTTGTTTTTGTTCTTGATTGATATTCTCGCAGCTGTAGAGCAATGCAAATTCTGTGTAATCGGTGTCCAGAACGTACAAATTCAGATTGATTATTTCTGCAAGTACATAAAATACGTCTGTATAATTTTTTATTGGATAATGCATCGTTCATTTTATATCTAAATTTGAGCGTTTTTGACCGCAATCTCACGCGTTAAGTGAAGATGCGGTCTAAGCTACTACACGCAAGCTCAAATAGTGCCTATTCATTCTTGACTTGAAAGACCCAGTGTTGTAAGAGACAGGAAACACAGACGCAGAGAGTTCCACTACTTAGCTGCTCGTATAAGTAAAGATGATGCAAATCGGTTGCTATGAGCAGCAGGGATGTCAACAGTGTATATGTGGAGTGCACTCTACGTCTTGTACTGTTGTGCAACAATGCTGTAGTGATGAGTTTGTGCAGTTCCTGAGCACATTCGCCGAAATGGAGTCTATAGTATAGTATATTGACAGACAAGCCACTGTATGTCATACAATGATAATGGAAAGCTGCACCCGCCTTTGCTAACTGTATATGCTGGCTGGGCACCAGTAAATTTTGCTGTTATATCAGTTAGTCCAACTAGGGGAATTCATCTGAAATTAACCGCGATGGTTTTTAGAGGGACCGAGTCGAAGTTGATATACTCCTTTGCTAGCTATTAGGTAATTTATCCTCTTTTTTAATATTCCCCTCCCCCCGATAATGTATCGTTATAGTTGAGGGTAAATAAGATAATTTTGTTTAAGATTCACGTGTTTAATAAATACGTGGAATATTATTTTTATTTAAAGTAATAATGAGAAATAGTGACAGAGTTTAGTTCGAAATGTTTTTTCCCATACGTCGGCAACACACGATATTCTTAGATATCGTACTTGACCTAATACTCAGCACTTCTGTGAATGTATAATTAAATCCAGCCACGTAGAAAGTGATTTGCGGGGTACCTTAACCTCACCTATTCCATCCTAAAAGCAGGTTTGCTTTATACGCTGCGTTTCTGTAATGGGCCATGGAAAGGCATTGAAAATACAGGATAAGAGGTACGACATCTTAATCTTCTGAAATGGCTTGCATAATAATTGTAGGACCAGTATCACGGGCGTCACATGATAATGTGACATTCGTAGCTTTGTTCATGTATATTGGCGACGTGTATCACTTACCAAGGTGGACTACCAACTAGTTTGCCATTCTAGTTATCCTTACTAATATTATAAATATGAAAGTAACTCTGTCTATCTGTATGTCTAGCTTTGACGCCAAAAATAGTGACTTGATTTAAATGAAGTTTGGTACACAAGTAGTCTAGACCTCGAGAAAGAACATAAGTTACTTTTTAATGCGAAAAAAGGTTGTACAGGTTAAAAGGGGATATGCAAGATTGTATGGAGGAATTTACATTTTTAAAGTGAGCTATGAAACTTTTCTTAGGCTTTCAAGTCACTATTATATGCAGACGAAGTCGCGGGTATTGCTAGTTTATACATGTATAGATATTTATGACGTGCGCCATATTCATGTACTTAAGCAACGGATACGACTTTATAACCATTTGGCTGTCGCTTTGTTTCGAATTTCATAAAAAACACTGACCTTCTTCGGTTTCATCCCTAAGTTCAACAGTGATCACTCCAGACCCATTTGAAGCTACTAAAGCCTGTCCGGTGTAAGTCTTCAGTCGTTCATTACGTACAAGGTTTTGGATAACGTTAAAACTGTTCGTTGTATTTAATATGAAGTCACTTTCTAAACATTCTCCAATTTGGATTTTCGATGGGTACCGTTCAAGTTCGTGCCAAACTCCTTTGAACTGAAAAGTAAAGTATTACAGAAGAACTTTCAATTTAAGAAATGCTTTTGTATAGCCACAACATTAGAAAAAGGTGCGCAAAAGACACAGTACAGATCAGAAATTTACAGAATAAACCATCTTATTGTGTAAATTTCTGATCTGTACTGTGTCTTTTACACACCGTTTTCCAATGTTGTGGCTATACAAAAGCATTAATTCCGGACTTGACTAGCTTGTTTAATGTATCTACGGACCATCACCGAGTATTGCGGAGTCGTTACTGCGTCTTACTTAACCCATTCATTATTTGAAAGTCTAAACTACTAGTAATTTAGTAACAGTTTTCGAATTACAATCATCAACATATAAAGAACCGGCGCGAAGGACCATTATATATGTCCCGGATAGCTCAAATAAAAACTTAAATGGCTGTCCATTGATGTTTTGAGCTATCTATGACAACAATAGTCCTTCGAGCCGGACTATTCGTCATTATTGATTTATGAATAATAGCTGTGGACTGTATAATATATTGTGTAATTTAATATATATACAAAAAAGCTGCATCGTTCAAATGAGCGAAATGTCTATAAGTGTGTAGCGTTCACAATGACTATCCTATCTGGATTAATAATCGTAAAGGTATATTTTTATTACCTGATTTGGATCGAATCCGCTTACAACGGTTATATCATTGTCTGCACACTGTCCCTCCTGTATAACTTGACCGTCGGTTAATTCAGGGTAGAAGAAACAATCGTCATTTTCATCATCATGACCCCAAGTGATCAAATATCTATCGTCCAAAATTTTTAAATTATTGGTGACACTCTCGATGGCTGCGATGGATTCTGGTGACAGAGTCTTGTTTCTACTTAATCTCCAATATCCCACTGAAAAAAAAAACCATTAAATGATGTACTATATATATTATCTTGGCCTGTATAGAACTGCAGTAAGTTCTAGAACGTGTATCTAAAGCAGTACTAGCAGGCTCCTACCAGATTTGGCTGGGCAGGGAATGAAACACGAGCGGTAAAGGCGAGTGTTGACGTATGTCGGCGAAGAAGCTCCTTAAACCCACACACGGATCACAAGTCCCGGGAACTGGAGTTTACCTCTCTGCCACACAATGGACCTGGCACCCGCACGGCGATTCCATGGAATGCTAAGAAGTTCGTCTCTATGTCTATTTATATCTAAATTGGCAGTTTTAATATATACAATCCTAGCTTCTTACCTCGCATATATTCATTGTTAAAGTTGTCGCAAGAATACACCAATGCGTAATTATCGTAGTCAGTGTCCAAGATCCAGTATGGAATAACGACATCCACTGCCGGATAGATATCTAAAAAATACAGCAATGGATTAAGCATGGAGGATATAAAAATAGTATACACAAATATAATATATTTGTGATCTCACTTGATTTATAATTTTCTTTTTGTTATATAATGGAATGTCAAATCAATTGACCTATGGTAAGTGGTGATCGACCGTCGACGGTACGGGTTTGTATAATGTGTAGAAAGATGAAGAAAATTTTAAAACAGCATATTTATTAGGTTAGATATTGTGGTACTTACATCCAGGTAGTGGGAAGGAGACATTCAATTTGCCTGTACCATCGCTGTCTATAGCGGCTGTTGCATTCATTATATTTTGTCTTTGTAAGTGAATTTGACTGTAGTATAAATCATAGCTTCCTGATGCTTGGTCCAATGTGTGTTCTGTACTTAGACAAGTGCCGTATTGGAATTCTATTGGATAACTTTGTATTGAATACCATCGGCCTGCGTACTGTAAGAATAATATTTTTATTATTTACTCTTATTCTCTTATTCGCACAGAGGCATTACAAATTACAACAACAATACAAATCTTTGAATTTCTTGGCTTGTTCTATTCTATAATACGCATGTATTGTACATATAAACATTATGTATATACCTATAAATCTTCCTCTTGAATCACTCTATCTATTGCTGAAACTGCATTCAAATAAGTTGTTTCATTTAAACGATATAAGTGAATAAACAGTGGCGGCGATTTTTTATCTTAAATATAAAACTAGCTTTTGCCCGCGACTTCGCTCGCGTTAAGAAGTATTATTATTACGTAGATATAGTTTTTGCGGTTCTACTTTTGTTTCCTTTCTTTGGGGATGGCTACGTCATAGTAGCTTTATGCATGCAAAGTCTCAGCCCGATCGGTTTAAAATTGACAAAGTTTCATACAAACTTTCATTCCCTACTTGATCCCCTTGGGGTTAGAATTAATCAAAATCCTTTCTTAGCGGATGCCTACGTCATAACATCTACCTGCATGCCAAATTTCATCCAGTGGTTTGGGCTGTGCGTTGATAGATCACTATGTCAGTCACCTTTGAGTTATATGTATAAATTTAGAAGATTTAGATTAGATGTAGATTCTCGTTATGCTATGTAAAGAAATTACAGGATAAGAAATATGAAATTAATACTTTTGATAGATTTTTTTTAATTATTTTGTTTTTGTAACTACCTTCATAATAGTTATAGAAAACACTTAGACCGATACAAAGAATCATACTCATGAATAAAAATATTTGTACCATGCGAGGAATCAAACCATATACAATTGTAAACAGTAGTGAACTAAGTTCAGAATTGTATTTATTAAGTATATAGCTTCACCAGGTAAATTTTAATGTCCACTTACAAGCACTGGATCGAAATTTGCCACTACTGATATGGTTTCATCACACTGCCCTCTGTAAAACACTGGTTCACCGGTGATTTCGGGGAAGTAGAAACAATCGTCGGAAGTATGACTTATACTATGGAAGTAGCGGTAATGCAATACATTCACTCCTTCCATTGTGCGGTTTATGGATGCTATAGAGTCATCGGAAAGGTATCTGTCGCGACCTAATTTCCAGCTCCAAACTAGTAGAAATATAAACAAATTAGAAAATACACAATGATCAATCAAATTCAATTCATTTTAGGCGCTCATGAACGTTAAATATTTTATATTATAATTTTACCGTTCAGTTCAGTATACAGATTCAATTGAGAATGAGAACAAATAAATAAAAATGAACAGCTTTTCACAAATGCATATGATATAATATATTGTTTATAAATGCGAAAATAAATTATGATTATAGTTGTAAAAAAACTTCTTGTTTTGTAAATTGTAAAAAAAAATCTTATGTAAGTTTGCTTGAACACAAGAGACATTTTGTAATTAAAGTATAAGGTAAAATTTAAAAGAATATATTTAATTTTTACCATCACAAATGTTTTCATAGGTAACTAGGCGTGCCCGCAGTTTCTCCCGCGTATATTTCAATAAAAAATATAGCTATGTGTTATTCTGATGCATAAGCTATATTACTGTAAAGTTTCATCAAAATCCGTTCAGTAGTTTTTGCGTGAAAGAGTAACAAACATCCATACTCATAAACTTTCGCGTTTATAATATTATTAAGATATGTATACGATAAAAAAAATTACCTCTTCTTGTATCAGTATTAATGTTAACACAGCTGTAAATGAGGGCGTAAGAAGTATAATCCGTGTCTAAGACCCAATATTCAATAGGATCCGCAACTGAAAAAATAATGAATATAAAACACTTTTACGTACACGTCAAACAATAAATATTAATGAAAAGTAAAATATATTCATAATTAATTAAGAATTGTGAACAAATGAGCAATTAGTTTCAGTATAGACTTGAATTGAAGTCATTATATGTATTTATTTTATTTCATTGATATGATTTGTTATATAATATAATATAATTCACATAGAGCCATCTAATCTCAAGCTAAGCAGAGCTTATATACTAAACATATAGGTACTAAACAACTCATAAAAATACTTTATATATACATTAGATGACATTCAAACCGATACAAACTGTCATACTCATGAATATAATATTGCATCGTGCGAGGAAACGAACCCACGATCATCGGAAATACGGCGAAGTGCTAAACTGGCTGGAGGCCTCGACGGCCTATGTGACAAGTGTGATAATTTGGCAAGGAAAGTTTACCATAGCAAATGTTAGGCTCTCTGGACTTGTATTTGTTCAAATCTTTTACCAAACTAAGTCCTAATTTTAATAAAATATATTCAAAAGACTTGACAAACAAACCAAATTAAACTAATTAATCCCAAAAAAATAAATAGGTTCGTGTCTAAATCTGCTAACTTGGAATCAAAATATACTCCGTAAAATGGATATAATATTTATTCAAGTTTAGTTTGGAATATCCAGTTATTTTGTATTATAACGTCACATTCAGAATGCATATACAGTCATAAACAATGAGAAAGAAATGATTGGTGCTATTTTCAAACAAATGTTTATAAATTCTCAAATCGGTTTCGGCGACTAGACTTCGACTTAAATAATCAACACTATGCTTCCAAGCTATATATGAACTCTATTCATCGCCTGATGACGACTCATTCAGAGGCGATATGGTAGATCCAATAATAGTGGGAATTTGTTGACTTATAAAGGAGGTTCAGTAGAGGTGGTCAGGTTCAGCACTGAATATTGGTCTCACACATCCTAATAGTAGAATGAAAAATATCAGAAATGAACAAAATACTTCTAACTATCCTGTCCTGTATTGGAACCGTGAAGATTATTAAAAATACTAACCTCCCTCGTACTCCACTCGTAGCTTCCCATTAGCAATAGGGATTACTGTCCCAATGACGGTGTTTAGTGTCTCATCAATGACTTGTGTGTTATAGATTTGAATATCGCCGTTAGGGAGCAATCTATACGATGCATCATTACAAGTGCCGGTTTGGAGGTCCGAATGGTAGCTTTCAATCAGGTACCATCGGTCTAAGAACTGTAAGACAATAATGATAATAATAATGATATGTATAACCCAGCAAAAGGTGTGAAAATAAAACATATAATAATAATAATAATACGGTACACTCCACAAAGCATAAAAAAACAGCAAAGGCGGAGAAAAGGAGACAACTATGTTAATAATAATCTCAGGACAATTCGCATAGCGCCATCTAGTCCCAAGTTAAGCTAGCTAAAGCTTGTGTTATGGGTAGATAACTGATACAAAGACATAGATATATATTTTTTCGTAAATACATACATAATATACATAGAAAACACCCAGACCGATACAAACAATCATACTCGAACCCGCGACCATCGGAAGTAAGGTGGTGTGTTAAACCACTAGACCACCGAGGTCGTCAAACTATTATAATATATTTTATGATTATTTTCTTACATCAGCTGTATTAAAGTCTTGTACAACTTGTACGTTTGGATCACACTGTCCAGGTAATATAATCGGTTCTCCAGCCTCCAAGTGAGGCAGATAGAAGCAAGCCTCATCTGATTGATCAATCCTTTCGTAGTAATCGTTCCTCAATACAACAATATTAGAAATTGCATTGTCAATCGCAGTATTGCCTTGTGAAGATAGTTGCTTTGTTCTACTCAATTTCCAGCTGAAAACTAACATGGAATAATATTTATTGTTGTATCATCATGCAATATCATTTACGGGGTTGGTAGAGAGTACTAAGTGGGAGTAGCTTCTACAGTTACAAATTACTCTGACGACATTCACAGTTCTCGACTCCTGAGCCCATCATCATATAACCCACGATCTGTATGACAGACGACCTCTACATATACAAATAAAAAAATATATATATATTTAATAAAAATATAACGAATTGCTGTCTGTACACTGTAATATTTATGATAAAACTTTTGGAGGATTCTATATATAATAATAACAATCTAGGACAATTTACACAGCGCCACCTAGTCCCAAGTTAAAAGCAGAGTTATTTGCTGTGGGTAGTAGACAACTAATATAAATACATAAATACTTTTTTTTTTAAATAATATAAATAGAAAACACCCAGACCGATACAAATAATCATACCGTATGAATACAATTTTTTGTACCGTGTGAGGAATCGAACCTAAGAAGTAATAGAATATAAAATAAATACGTATTATATATCTTATCTGGGGTATTAGAAACGTTAAAAAATTAAGCTTGTTGTTTGGCATCACATTGTTATTTTTGATAAGGAAATAAATTCCCTTTAATTCAATATTTAAGTCGCTAACTACCTAAGATTTTGTTCTATTGTTTTGTCACAGTTATTTACATGTAATTACTACTGTAATATATTACTAATTAATCATTTTTAATGATAAAACTTATTTACATATTTATTTTATAGGATTACATATTTGTGTCTAGATAAGCAAACTTTATCTACACGTAAATATGTAATCCCAAAATAATGTTTACATATGGAGTCCACTAGTAATAGTATAATTATTATACTATTAATAGTGGACTAATAATAATAATAGAGAGTAATATTATAGTTAATATATTTAGGTTTTAAAAAATATGAAACCTTGTATAGGTTTTCAGATATTTGCAAGCGAAATCGTGGTGGGTCGCTAGTGTAATGTTAGACTAAATAAGATTGAATAGAAAAATTATAAACTACAACATGATTGAACTCTAATCGAGCTTGACTTTTTTGATCTATATTAATTTATTATATTTTTCTAGTTTCTAAAAAACAGTTTGATTTGTTTCGGTAGAAGGTCTCACTATTCTGCCAATGAAATTACAGAATAAAAGACATGACTTCTAAATTCTCTGGAATGGCAACGTATGTTTATTTTCGATATATACATGCGTTGCCATTCATCCCATTTGTATCATGATAACATGATATAGGCAATGGTCGGATATCAACTTGCCATTCCAATTGCTTAAATAAATTCAAGGTACTTAAAAGTGCTAAATTAATAATTAAAGTAATTAAAGTACTTACCACTTCTGTAATCCTCGTTTAGATTAATACAGCTGTATATCACAGCATAGTCGTCGTAGTCGGTGCTAATTACCCAAAACGGTACAGTTATGCTTCCTGAAAATAATAGTATAATGCATACAATATAAATAAGCATACATGAATTATAATAATAATATTATCTCAGAACAATTCAGACAGCGCCATCTACTTCAAGCTAAGCAGAGCTTGTGTTATGGATACTAGACAATTGATAGAAATATTATTGTAAATAAACATACTGGTTAGTTGCTATAGTTGAATAATTAATCGTCAACAGACGCTTTTAATGGCATCCATTGATTTGTAGGATAGATTATATTTACAGTTCAATAAGAGTAAGATTCGCAGACTAAATATTATTTAGATACTGTTTAAATTACTAGGTTTGTTTCTCATTTCAGATGTCGCTAGTAGAAAAATTGTATCACGATTGACTTTTGCCCCATGTATTGGAATTATATTAATTTTAATTTGATTACAGAGGCCATGATCGACGTTCCGGTTTGTATCTGGCGCAAAGGATTTCCCTAGTAATTCAACGTGGATGTGCGAGCGTTATGGGAACCTTTAAGTCAGGTACGATACGGGACAATCTTAGCAATTAACTTTTAGGTTTTTTTTGTTTTTTTTTTTATTGTATATTTACCATGTAATTATTAATGTAATTAATTATAAGCTTTGTTACATATCTTTATTACATATGGTAAATATATTAAGTACACAATTAAAAAAAAAAAAATTTGGTCACTGTGGTGACGAATATACGCAGTGTAATAGTGGTGTGTTTTACTGCCCTCTATGCTAAGTCGTGTTAAAAAGTTACATTTTTTGTAAATATACATAGAAAACACCCAGACCGATACATAGAACCATACTTATGAATATATTTTTTACCATGCGAGTTATTAAAACACATATAATTTAAAAAAATAGTTGTATATAATTGATTAATGTTCTATTGTAAGTAAAAATTGACATTGTAAATATGAGTTTGTAGATCTCTTTTTATGTAATAGAGAGATCTACAATAAAAATATTATGCATACCAAAGTGTCTCTATCTGTCTGTTTGTTACCATCTTACAACTAAACATCTGAAGTTGAACTATTTCACGAAGGTTGAATAATGTAAATATTCTTATAAATATTACAAACGTGAAAATTTGTGTGTATGGATAGATGATTGTTACTCTTTCATGCAAAAGTTACTGAACGGATTTTGATGAAACTTTACAGTAATATAGCTTATACGTAAATTAGGCGAATATAATGATAAATGTTAAGTAAGTGTGATGCAGATCAAGTGGCGCGGATCAGCCAGTATTAAATATTTTTACTATAGATCAAATTAATTAAATTAACATACCGCCTTCGTCATTTGGTATAGATATAGTCAATCGTCCACTATTTTCCTGGTCCGCTGTCACAGTCGCGTTGGCTATGTGCAAGGTTCGATCATCAACGTGACCTGACTGCAGATTCAAAGAATTCCCTGTTCCCGTGGTATATTCGTGGTTAATACAAGTTCCAGGTCGCAGATTTGTTGGGTAAGCCTCTACTTCATACCATATGCCAGTAAACTGAAATAAATTCAAAATTATTGTATAATTTACCCAGGATAATTCAAACAGCGACATCTACTGACCGACTAGCTAGAGTTTGAGTTATGATAATAACTAGGCTGTACTAGATGACGCTGTGCGTCATCTAGCCCCAAGCAAAGCAGAGTATGTGTTATGGATATTAGACAATTGATAGAAATACTTAAATACTTTTTATTTGTAAACTAGCTTTTGCTCGCGGCTTCGCTCGCGTTAATTTATCCCCTTAGGGGTGGAATTTAACAAAATCCTTTCTTAGCGGATGCCTACGTCATAACATCTACCTACATGCCAAATTTCAGCCCGATCCGTCCAGTGGTTTGTGCTGTGCGTTGAAAATAATATACACAAAAATACCCCGACTGATATAAACCATACTCGTGAATACAACAATTTGCATCGTGCAAGGAATCGAACACGCGGCAAATGGACGTAAGGTTGAGTGACACAATTTGAGCATTGTATAATAAGTATATTTAGTTTGTCTTGTTAGCCTTAATTAATTATAAGTATTGCTGATACGATTGCCTTGGGGTATATAGGGAACTGTCCTATAAGGGGTACCACAAGACTCACGTGTACTAGTAGTATTTCTGATGAATATACGATCGTTGCCGTTTGCCATCACATGGAAGTTAGCTTGATTGCGATTAACGTTTAAAAACATAGAGCCGCTAAAAAGTATAATAGTATAATATACTGTTATAGAAATACGTAATAAAAGGATTTATAAAGGGATACATAATTTAATGGTAATGGTAGAGACAGTGAAGTGACATATATAGAATTTGTTTTATAGTTTTTGATTAGAGAACAAAAAGGAAAATTTATTACATTAATTTAAATATATTAATATTGGTTCACTCCACGAGTATACCAGAATGTTCGCCAGTAGGGAGAAATAGCGAGCTCTCGTAAGGCGGATGACATCTGCCTCTCACTATCACCACAGATAACATAATATTAGATACTATCACATAATGAACACGACCGTTCTGTCAAGAGCGTATCGAATAAGAAGAATATTAATATCAAAATAGTTCATCAACGTATACTCACTCTTGATAAATCCAAAATTGGTACATTTATATTCTCATCACACTGGCCAGGGAAGACTACAGGCTGATCTGGCACAGGGACAGGGAAATAGAAACATCCTTCTGCACTCTGATTAACAGGTTCATAGTATTGCTGATCCAATACAGAAATTTCATTGACTGTATTATTAATTCTTTCTTGTGATTCTTCTGACAGGGATTTCGTTTTACTCAATTTCCAACTGAACACTAGAATAACAAAATCAAATAATAACAATAACACACAAGCAAGATATACAAAATAGTTAACAAAATACAAAGTATTACTTTTACTTTTACAGGAAATTAAAACATTGTAATGAAATTAATGTTCATTTAAAAATTGAAAAAGAAGGTAAAGGTAGGAAGGTAGAAAGGTAAAATATAAATGAAATTGCAATCAGGCTGCAAAAGGCGCTTGGTAATACTGGCCACAAATAAAAACATGTGGCCACACATGTTTTTATTTGTGGCCATGTAAATTTCTAATACAGAATAAAAAAAACAATTGAAAATAAGAACTGGAATAAAAAGGACGCTTCGTATTTTTAACTATATAAAACAAGATAATTAATGATTTATTTAACATAATATAATTGTTTTTATGAAAATATGTATATTCTCCAGAGTGCGTGGCGACTAAACAATACAACACATCTGGACGTTCCTGAGCAAAGGTGAGTTTGTATTACATTGCTTACTTTGGGGTGTTCGGAGTGTGGAAGACGTTCTTCCAGGTCGAAATCGTATTTCTGCTTCCTTTTCCATTAATTATTTTCTTTTCAATAAATACAGTCCACTCTCTATTTTATATATTACTTTATAAGGATTCGTAATCCAAGATATAGTTTATATAGAAAGTGCATAAAGTTAATATTTTTTAATTATGCATATAAAATACATAACATCAATAAAAACCCACACACGCATAATAGTCTTTGATAATAGAACCTTAATAATGTTCAAACTTATATATGAAATTAATTATAAATTTGAACGTTTTATTAACATTTATAATTATAAAATAAAATTAATTTACTCGAACACGTTTAATGCATTAGGTATGCATGCATTAGGCAGTTGATTAAGTATGTTTCTTTTGACGGATTTGAATAAAATAATAACGTTTCCACACTTTTGTCTTAATTAATAATTATTTATTTGTTTTAATTTATTAAAACAAATAAATAATGAATTTTCTGTTAGTAATGGATTAATGTGATATCTTTGAACGAAGAGGGTGAAGTCTTTGCATATTTTTTAATAATTTTAGATTACTTTTTTTTATATAATACAATTGTTATTGTAACTTACCGTATCTTTGATTATCTTCGATATTAATACAGGAATACACAAGTGCGTAAGCGTCGTAATCAGTGTCCAATATCCAATAGTCTACAGATATAACGCCTGAAAGACCAGAAATTTGATATTTACTATTATGTAATATTAAATGGACAAAATGTGCGGAAATTAATAAATAGAAGACAGATAGGAAATAAAATTATGAATCACTCAGATTTTAGATAAGAAGAAGCATAAATTTTAAAAAAGATCTGCCTATATTTAATTTTTATATGAAACGAAATTATGCCATTCATATAAAGTTTAAAATAAAAAAAATAGCTAGAATATCACAATAAGATATGATAGTGAAATTAGAAGTTTATAGATATTAGAGTTATAATCCTTTTTAGAGAAACTAGAGGTCTAGAGTTAGGGCGTTTTCGTTAGGTAGGTTTGGTTATCGTAAATAGGGAATATTTGCCATCAGCGTTATTCCAGTTACCTAAAAATAATCTGACCGAGCCTTACCATTATCGACGGGGAGTGTAAGGTTGAATTTAGCTGGCTCATCAGGATCAGGTACAGAAGCAATTCCATTAATTGAATCCAAAGTTTGATTAATAACTTGAGTGTTAAATATACCGATTTCTCCACCAGGGCCGGCAGTATAATGTACGTTACTGCAGGTACCGGTTTGGAAATTGGCTGCATATGATTCTATATTATGCCACAATCCATAAAACTGTGAATTAAAGTGTATTTACTTGTATATATTCTTAAATAAGTAATTACTAGAAAATTAGTTGAACTGCATCATTGAATTTGGTTTTTATAAATTTAAAAATAAATGTATAGGTATGTGTTGTTTTTTGGAATAAAAAAATGCAGTTATCAACTCACCGGTTTTTGCATAACATAATTAGATTTAACAATCACCATCGTATGGATTTTTTGTCTAAGCGTGACTCTCAATATCTCCAGTTAAATATTCAATTAAAAAATTGCGCGAATAAAGGACTAGGTAATTTTCATATTTTTAAAAGTATTTGAAAGTTATTCAAGATATCTATGAATTTAATTTTAGCAAGAATCTCAACTCATGTTCAAGCGCAAACTTAAGCTTTGATTTATTTAACAAATACGTACTTTAGAAGAATCGAAATTAGCCATGACCGGAACATCACCACATCGTCCTCGGAACACAACGGGTTCTCCTGGGTTTGGTTCAGGATAATAGAAACAGTCATCATCATTTCTCGGTGTATCTTGGTAGTAAACGTTGTTGAGATCTAGTTGAGAGTTGATGTGTCTATCCACTGCTTCTTGAGAAGCAACAGAAAGTGTGGATGACCTGCTTAATATCCAACTGTAAACTAAAAGGAAAAGAATAAATCAACTTAAAGAATTATATTTTTGATATTGATGTTTTTATAGTATAATAGTTATACTCAATAAGTGATTACCGTCTACCATAAACTCCAACAACATAACAAGGAAATTGCAAGTGAGTTGTAAGTCTTTTAATAGGAATAAGTTCTTTTCTTGAAGGTTTCAATCGTCTCGTATTAGTTCGGAAACACTATTTCAGGAAGGTGATTCTACAAATTCTACTCCATTTAGTAGCAAAATGTCCAATAGGCTTAGTAAAAATCAATATCCCTTTCTAGTTTCTAGTGTTTGATAACAGGCAAATATTGTAAGGGACAGAAATAAAACAGTTTTCTAATTACCTCTCGATTGATCATCTGGCAAATTGTCACAACTATATAAGATCGCATAATCGTAGTCCGTATCTAGAATCCAAATCTCTCTTTCCAAATATTCTGCAAATATAGATAGAATAATAATAATTATTTAATTCAAATACAATTTTAGAAACTCTGCTCACGTACATAATTTATTAAGAATTCTAAATTACGTTGTGCTACTTGCCTGCTCTGTTTAATGTTGCAAAATATTGAATTTTCTTATTAGATAAATCAATTACACCAAAAAAATCTCATATGCATTCATCGTTGAATGTTATTGTTAGGCAAAAATAAGAGTAGTCAAGCACACAGTAGAGACCATAGCAAATAAAATATCCTTAAGAAGGGATAGTCCATAACATTAATTTTGAAACTATTTGAATTGACGAAGAGATAGTTAGGGATGTAATACCGATAAAATATGCATATAAAGATGTTATGTAAAGCGAATAATGTTTTATAAACTACTACTTATTATACAATCAATATCTATTCTATGATTTAGAAGTAGGGAAGCAGTGAGCAGAGTTATAGACACTAGTGGACGGTGACTTTGTTCTGTACTATGTATTTTGGAAGATTGTTCCTTGTTAAAATTAATGAGATATACGACATAATATTTAATGACATTCTTTTCTTTTTCTGTTAAATTCAACAATATGCTAATATTGTTTAAATAGATCTCATTATAATCGTATAATACATAGAATGGCCAGCATTGAGGAATGAGTGATTATAGTCTGTAGTATAGATGCTATTTACCTTCTGGTGAAATTTCTAAGAAGACATTCAACTTTCCACTGTTATTGTCGCCAATGACTGATGCGTTACCAGGTGTAGTGCCCAGAGCTTGATTAATTACGTAATTGTTCAGCACGTTCACCACACCGTCAACGATGGTATATTCAGTTCTAGCACAAGTACCGATCACGTGTTCTGAGTAGTAACTAGCTATTTCATGCCAAGGACCTAAAAACTATAAAAAGGTTGATTAAGTATCACTATCTGGTGTATATACAAAGATGGCAGTAACAGTGTCGAGAGATGTTGATAATGCTGTTGAAGATGACGACGGATATATTTCGAAATTGCGAAACAGCGCAATAATTTTTTTAGAAGTGCAAGTTTTTCTGCTCTGTCGGATTTCTATTACTTTGGACTACGTCGATCATGTAGGTAAGCATTTCTGCAAATATATTCGTTTCGGTTTCGAACATACCATGAATTCATTTTGAGTTAATTATATCTAACTTTTTCCAGGTATGTACTGTTGATTTAATGTATTAGATTGTAAACTGTTGGTCTTCTAATAACCAAATAAATACTCTGCATTAAAAATTTTAGTACTTTCAAATTTCGTTGGTAGGAATTAGTTTCTTGCAAGTATAAGTTTGTTTACGGATACTCCGTTTGAACAGCTATTATTTGATATGCTACATGCTATAAAGATTTCAAACGAACTATCGAATATCATTTGTCACCAAAACTGGTTTGCTTGATAAGAGAAGAAAAACTCGAATTAAATGATATACTCATAATTAGCACCCTAATAAGTATTGTAATAGGTTAACTATTCTTTTATAGGCATAAAGTTATGCTTACGTCAGTGCCTATGCCTAACAACAGAAAGATATTTGTTACAGATGATAGAATAACATATTTAAAACTTACCCTTTCGATGTCGAAGTTTGATACAACGGGTGTATTTTCATTGCATTTGAACGGTAATATAATAGGCTGACCAGGTAGAATCTCTGGTAACCGGTAACAAGCATAATCACTATGATCCACCAAGTCAAGATCATCGATAGTCAATTGCAATTGTGTTTGCAGTGTGTGATTAATCGCACTTAAAGCTGGACCTTGTAACGTCATGTTAAGTCGTTGATACTGCCAAATGTTTACTGTAAAAAGAAAAAAAATTGCGCTATCGTTTTGGAAATTTGGTGATAAAGATTATTTTATTGAAGCTACAGATATAGTAAAGGTATAAAAGACAACCGCAGTTTCACGTATTGTCTATCTGTATCTGTTTATCGCGTAAGGATCTCCTCAGTGTATAGTCGACCACACTGACTATAAGCAGCTTTGGGTGCCATTGGGCGAAGTGGAAGTAGCGCTAAGACGTTTCCTTCATGAAGTGTTTAATGGTAGACACACCGCGGTGGAGATAGGCGTTGCAAACGAACCACGGCGCGCCAGTAGCTCGACACAAGAACTTATTTTGTAAGATTTGTTGATGATGAATTTGACAAGGAGATCTGTGGTAGAAACTTACCTGCTCTTGTTGACTCATCTATAGTTTTACAGGTAACGACCAGTAAAAAAAACATGGATATAACATTTAAAACCAACACTTCCAAATCTGAAACATAAACAGATACAATGTAATAGGTTGTGTAATTTAATTTTTGAAAATTATTTATAAATAATTTTACATAGGTCTAACACTTAAATTAATATTGTTATTATTTCTAAATGTTGTATAATATTTGCTCTTATGCAGTACCACTGCGAATGACTGAAGTGTCATGCCTCTGTACCCTGTAATTTCACTGCTATACCTTATCCTTCAACTTACAAAATTCTTCTATCCATTTAAGTTATACTTGACAATTGCAATAATTGTGATAGATGTGCCAACGAAGATGATTTCATATAAAGTCTGGCTTAAGAAATAATTTATAAGCTACAATAAAAATCACTAATAAATGTCTGATGAAAGGAACACCATCATCTATGAGAACATTTCGTTAATGAAATAAATTAATAATTAATATAATAATTCTTTTATTGGAACTAAAAATATATAATATTTTACAAAGTAGGGTAGTGTAACAATAACAGTCACATTAGTAAATAATACTGTGTCGTGGCCATCAACGCCCACCTCCTTAAGACAGAGCGTTACGGTTCCAGTAGTATAACAATAAATTTATATAATAAAAAATAATAAAAAGCAAAGCAAAGGCATGCATGATTACGTTTACAACATAACTTTTAGGAAGATAAACAAGTTAAATTAAATACAAATTTCTTAGCCAATATTCACTAATTAGGTTACCTGTATGTAAAAATATTACGATGAAAAAAAAACTTAAGACGAACGAACGAATGCTATAATGTAATTTAATGTTTATGATTTGTAGTGAGCATAATTCGATTTGATGTGTTATTATATAGATCTGTAAGTATATGTATCTGTGTAAATATATGTTGGATGGTATGGATGTTAGTTTTTTTATATATATTCAAATGTATTTCAAACCTTTACGAGATTTTCAGTGTCGTCGTAATCTAATTTCTGAAGCCATTGAAACAACAATATTTTAGATTCGCGGAGTGTATGTGGATAAATGGAAACTACCTTATTAATTTTGTTATATAACACTGAACCAAGATATTGATATTGCCGTCGCACTACTGCAAGATTAGATGATTGAGTTGGACAAACTATACTAGGTCTACGTTTATTATGATGAAAGTTAGGGTTGAAAGCTATATCTGAATGTCTATGGAGTACGCTCCTGAATATGTATGTCTGTCTTACGGTCAGTACATTACAAAGGGAATACAATTCTTTAGTGGGATAATAAATAGGCTTCTTAATCATTACCTTTAGTACAGCTCTTTGGGATCTTTCCAATCGCAATAATAAGCATTTCCCTGATCCTCCCCAGGCCGAGAAGAGCTCGTTAAGAAATGTATTCATTAAATGTCGTTAATGAATACATTCTTAACGAGCTCGAAGTTTAATATATACTCGTATGTAGCAAACAGATTATCAGCACTGCAGGTTTATATGTAACTTTATATAGAGTTGGTTGGCTATTAAACTTTGCGGCACATATAGCTACCTCCATTTCTTACATTTATTTATTTATTCTTTTGCACACAAAATTGTATACATGGCGGACTTAATGCCTAATGGCATTCTTTACCAGACCAGTACATTACAAAGGGAATACAATTCTTTAGTGGGATAATAAATAGGCTTCTTAATCATTACCTTTAGTACAGCTCTTTGGGATCTTTCCAATCGCAATAATAAGCATTTCCCTGATCCTCCCCAGGCCGAGAAGAGCTCGTTAAGAAATGTATTCATTAAATGTCGTTAATGAATACATTCTTAACGAGCTCGAAGTTTAATATATACTCGTATGTAGCAAACAGATTATCAGCACTGCAGGTTTATATGTAACTTTATATAGAGTTGGTTGGCTATTAAACTTTGCGGCACATATAGCTACCTCCATTTCTTACATTTATTTATTTATTCTTTTGCACACAAAATTGTATACATGGCGGACTTAATGCCTAATGGCATTCTTTACCAGACCACCGTCGCGTTGATCAGAGATAGTATGGCGGTGCGATTTAACAGGTATAAAATAGATTAATACAGAAAAATAATATATATAGATGTACATATATATAAACATACAATATGTATAATATACTTCTAAAATTATATAATTACATAAATAAGCAAAATATATGGTCTCATGGCATATATCTTCAGACAGTAGTTTGGCTGAATATTGTTACAGAAATTTCGAGTAGTGTTCAAGGATATTTTGAAGGTTTTAATTTATATGTTTATTTATTCTGTATTTATAATCTAGTCTTGATAGTACAACTATGAAATACCTTCATTAGCGTTGTCCCATTGTATCGTCGCATAATTATTATCTTGAGGAGTTACTATACCATTTTCTTCCACATTAAAATTATTCTGTACCGCCCTACTCAGGATTGTGGCTGTGTTACCGCTTTGTTCTTCGACTTCTATTGTCGGACAATCCTTGATATCGGCTCCTAATTGACGATGTAATTCCCATTCTCCTGAGATCTGTAAAAGATATGTCATAACAAAATCATACATTTATTTATATGTTGTCAATATTCACACGTTAGATAAAAAGTAAATTGATAAATCGCAATCGGGTTAGTTGGATGAATACGCTCTAATTGCACATATTAACATGTTGGTACTTGTTTTATTTTATGGTGTTGATGTTTTTTATTTAAACTTAGGTTTCAAGTTTTCAAATGACATATTCTTTTTATTTAAATGTTGTATACTTTTATTTAGAACAATGTTTGAATGTAGAGGTAGCACTTGAGTCGATTTAGTTGCTCACAAGTGTATATATAATGCAACAGTTGATATGACCATATTTTGCTGGGCCTATTTGTATCCAACGTGACCGTAGATTAATAAATACAGATATTTGCATTTTGCAGAGATCGAACCCGCGACTTTCGAAAGAAAGGTAGTGTGCTAAACATCAAACCGCTGCTACCGCTACTGCTACCAAGATAACCAATGGTAATTTTGTTTTGATTTACATACGTATATCAAAGATTTTATTTATCGTCGGATTATTTTTTTTAATATTATCATATCGTCATTGATAGTATTTTAATAAATGCAATAGCTTCTTTGAATCCTATCTCGTAACATACCACTACATATAAATACGAAGGTTCCATATATTAGTGAAGGTTAATGAATTTTGTTTTCGGCAGTTAAACTAATTAATTCTCATTTCATTAAATCGATTAAATTAATTAATTGTAATTATATTTAGGAACCTGATAGGATACTTATTACACGTGACTAATATTGGGCATTGTTTTATACAAAACAAGCAAATTCCCGCGACTTTATTTGATTTTTTTAGGTTGAAAGACATGAAGTGTAGTCCCTCCTTGTAATACCATCTATATTAAAAACAAATTTCATTACATTCTATTCAGTAATTAAAGAATTAAGAAAACTTAAGATACATATATTCAGACCTTCTGATTTATATTTACAAGGACTAGCGTCCCAGCGTTAGTTTCGCACGGTTGTAATCAAGGGGTATTATGTACATATGATTTACGAGACAGATAGACAGACATTATATATATATATATATATATATATATATATATATATATTTATATATATATATATATATATATAAATGTCTTTGTATATATATATCGCATTTATAATATTAGTAAGGATTTATTTATTTGTCATAATTGCCTGTGTTTATGAATGACACTCTCGATAGTCGCATTATATAAAACTCAAAAACTACATTATAAATATGATAAAATGAATATGTGAATTATACGGAAAACATCAACATTCAAGTAATATAAAAAACCGGTCACGTAAAAAAAAGTTCTGAAGTACACACATAAAATACATCGAATTGAATATGTCCTCCTCGTCAGCTCGTGACCACGGCTAGTGCAACCTAGTCGAAACGTCGAGAGAGGTAAATACCTTTATTTGCCATAAAATTATTCGTGTTAAGACCCGGTTAATAAATTATTATATTAAATTATTATATTACCTTGAGATATCTATATTATTTTTATTATATAAATATATAATTATATAAATATAATAAAAATATATATGGAGATACTATATATATTTTTAAGCAATACCTAAATTTATTACTGTCATTATTTAGACGTCACAAAGAAGACGGGATTTCACCCTTATCCGTATGTTTATATAAATTATTTCCTTTATATATACTTCTATATGTTACGTAGGTACATATTATACCTAATTAGTTGTATATTGCAAGTACCTAGTTATTATTTCTTTGTTGTAAAATTGTTTTTTTATTGCTTATCTATTATAGATATCCATTCCACATTTGTACTGCCGTACTAGTGATTATTAGTATAGCAGTTGTACTAGTATTTTTAATTTAGCCTTTCTTGTAAAATCTAGAATATTATGAAATGGCCAAATTTAGTTTGAAATATTTTCTGCACATAACGATCAAAAGTTGTTTTAATTACAAGTACCTACGACATTAAAGAATTAGCCAATGCGGTACCCCAGTTCTATCGTGATATTTTTAGGTTCACGGTAATTAGTATATATATAGTAATAATACATAATATTATAAAAGTTTGTGAGTTTGGATGGATGTTTGTTACTCTTTCACTCAAAAACTACTGAACAGGTTTTGATGAAACTTTACAGTAATATAGCTTATACATCAAAATAATATATAGGTTATAAATTTTACGCGGATGAAATCGCGGGCACGGCTAATATATACATATATTAGTTGAAATTTTATGAATTGTGAAATTATGTTTTAAGGAAAAAGGGTACTATTATTTGTTTTCATAAAATATTTAATTTCGGTAGAATTTACTTTAAGACAATTTGATTTGTTATCAGCAATTATTTCCTATAATAGAAACATATACTCGTATAACAATTTAAAATAATCCGAAAGATCTTTAAATTTATTTACTCAGCGAAATGTGCCCGTGAGTATGTCAAATATGAAATTGACGAAGATGCAAGAATCTTTTAAGAATCTCATTAAGCTTATTTCGATAAAATATTATTTGGTAAATAAAGAATAGAAGAGGGGATAGGGGAGATAACACACTATATTAAGCGGATCAAGAGAAAAGATGAAGTCGACGGAAAACCATAAGAAATGGCAAGAGTTCCACCGACAAGAGTGTGGCTCTTAAATTATGATTGAATTAACGTTATACGTTAGTACGTATATTTTCGATTTTGAACGATTTTGACAGCTACATTTGTTTTCTTAGCGAAATGTAAAATGTTTTGCATTGACGATCACAGCTAACAATGACAATGACTGCAACAAATGGGATTATATCCGTGAAGGTATGTTCTATCCTTAAAATATATATAGGTAATTACGTCTTCTAATGTCCATACGACTCCATTAATATCCTCACACTGGCCATTTTGCACAAATTCCGCCCAACATCCATATAATAGTTCAAATGAGACTATCACTAACACTATATTGTACTTCATCATAATAACATTATCACTAGTCCATCCACTGCACGAAGAAACTAATCAAATGACGATACATTATACATTTTATCATATATATATGCGAAGTTATCGATCAATTATATATCGCCGATATAAGATCGCAACTCGAAATATACAACAACGAAATCAAGTAAATAATTATATTCATAAATTCAATACCATAAGACGTTTTATGAATATAAATAACTATAAAGTTATAGTCCATAATAATTTGCGTTCTGTTTCTCTATTTTAAGGTAACAATTTTTTTTTAAGTAATTGTGGTCAATCATCGTCGCTTCATCCTTAATCCTTCTAATATGTTTTCCTCTTACATTCGTCCCTGTTCACAGTCATCTTGTGATTTACTGCCTTTCTTCTTTTTTTGGCCCTTATAACCAACTTTCCTCTGCCCTTATAACCATCCGCATTCATAGGTAGGTGTAACCATCGCCTATATACATACATGCACTTCACGGTCATCACGTTATCATGTGAAGCCCGTGACACCACTAATGTCATTTAGAACTAACATATTATATTATTAATAACCCAGGACCGAGGCCAGCATATTATGTCCACATATTCTTTAGTTTAATTTCATTGCATTTCCTTATCCCTTTAACCGAAACATATCTAACAAAGTAAGGAACCCGCCTTGCTTATTTTGTAGGCTTAAATAAGTACAACAGAGTTACCCAGGCAGAAGACTTTTACAAAGACTTCCTTGTTATGAATATACATGCCTACTAAAGACGTTAATTTAAAAGAGCAACACGCAAGTTTTCGCATTCTTCTTGTGATGAGTCTGCGTTCTATATGAGTGGTAGGTATAATAGAAAAATATGACTTTTCAAAAGTATTTATATTAAGTTTATTTAAATTAATATTATTTCTGCTTCTGACACACTGGAAAGCAAATAATAATAATAAAAATGACAAATAATATATCTATACTATATTCAATTTGTTCCACATAAAAATTTATGTTAATAGTAAAACAAAACAATAAAAAAATCATAAAAAATAGGCTTAGATATGGTAAAGTAAGAAAAACTAGAACTGAGAATTTCTTTTGTAGTCTATGTATAAAAGGGAATTACTCATTTTTATATCATAACTAATACTTGTATTTAGAACATTGTTTTGTACAAACAAAAGTTTTGCCTTGCACAAGTTTAAAATTTTGTAGGTAGTACTTATAATTAAATTGAATAGATTAAGAGATACGTAAGTAGATTCATTTAAAAAGTATTCATTGAATTTCAAGAATGGTTGATAAGGTATTACGTGTTGCCACGAAATGCAACAACACGAAATTATTATATTATTAATGTAATTTATAAGCTGGAAACGTCAGAGCATATTTGGATGATTTTGAATGTTAATTTTAAATTATTTATGTACACATTCAAGTTGAAGTAAATAAATTGAATAATAACAATAACTCTTTATTGTGCATAGGACAATAAGTACAAAACAAAAAAAAAATAGTATTTCTTTCATTTATAGCAATTTTTTTAATGTATGATGATGGAATGGAGAGCTCCCCTCCTGTGCTAACGGTTTATGCTGGCCAGACACCAGTCTAGGATAATAAGATAGCCATGAGGTCAGTTGATCGTGTTAAATTCACTAATAATTTCTCATGATGGTTTCCAGAGGGAACCGCGAGAAGGTCAACCTGACACAATGTACTATATTGCTACTAATGGGGTTATTAGTACACATTACTAACAATCCCCTCCTTTAGTTATATTTGGATATTCATATAAGGTAGTACTTTCATTTATAATAGATTCTCAAGGATATACATAGAAATAAGTTATCTGTATAAAGGTTAAGTTAATTTGCATTAAATACTTAATACTTAGCATTAGACAGGTCGTACTGGTTTGCTGTTTTATTGGTATATATCTTCATAACAATTATTTTACGGGGTAAACAGAAATAGTTAATAAAAAAAGTTTTTGATATGATAGACATATTTTTTCTTTATTACATTACTATGTAAACTTCTTATTATGTATAATTTAAACATATAAAAAGCCCCCTCTGCGTCTGTCTGTATGTTTGCTATAATCTCAAAAACTACTGAAATGTGGTTTTCAGGTGACTTTTATTCATCAACAAAGTTTCTTAGGAAGGTTTAAGTTTATAATTCATTAAAGTTTAGTGGAAATTGGTTGAAATTCTGAATTGGCGGATGGCCAAGTAGTCTGCTGGAGTTATGCTCTTTTAGTTGCCGAACAATTACATAAAATAAGAGCCTTGCATAATAAAAAGAGCCTTAATGATCTATCGGTTTAGCACACCGCTTTACTTCCGATAGTTGCGGGTTCAATTCCTCGCAAGGTATAAATTTGTATACATGAGTTGTGTCGGTCGGGGTGTTCTCTTTGTATATTATGTATGTAGTTACAAAAATGTATCTATTAACAGCCTAGTACCCATAACATACGCTCTACTTAGCTCGGGACTAGAAGGCCGACGGTCAGTGATATTGTTTATGAAAATTAATAGATTCCCCCTAGAACTAAAGTGGTTTTAAATTAGAGTCTAGATAACGTTGGTACGATAACTTCAATAGCAGGTCAGAAAATATCTGCGATCAAAAAAGTTGTAACAAATGTTATGACCACATAGAGAAGAAGCTTCTGAAGACGGATGATTAGGACTAAAAGCCTCTGAAGATTTATAGAAGAAGAGTAGAAAAGCTGACTCCAATTAGGATGGGATAGCGCCGTAAGAGAGTATTTATTCTTAAGTATATAATGTACTCTACATTTAAAAACAATCATGAAATAAGTTTAACGTTAAAAAAGGTGTCAACAAATATCTGGAGTTATTTGGTTATTAAATCTTTTCTTTGTTTATTAATTCTCTGTCCACCCAAAGGTAGTCACAAATTTTATTTGAGCACAACGCATTTTGTATCAGTTTATGTTAATATTTTAATTATTTTCTGTATTTAGAATAAAGGTTATATATAAAATATATAAATTACGATGGCTATCACGAAGCTATTTGATTATATTTAGTATGAATAAAATTCTCTTATTTTTATTCGTTGGCAAATATATTATGGTAATTATTTGAATACATTACACTGAATCGCATACTATTGATTATGTAAATTAATAAACAAAAAAAAACACAATAGTTTAATGATTTTTAATATATCAAGTTTAATATCCACTATATTGATCAATAGGTTATATAGAATTATAAATAAAATTATTTATATCTGATACCATATTCATTTTCAAGGTTGAATACAAAGGTACATAATTAAAACTTCTTATAAAATAATTGTGAGTAGCGCGGGAATACTACATTACTACATTACATTATTAAAAAACTGTAATAGCGGTAATACCCATATATACACGTATGTATATTTTCCAAGAGGGCTCACAATGTCAAGGGCAAGAAGTCAAAAGTAGCAAAATGTCTTATTTTGCCATATATTTATAATGCTGGACAAGCTGCAATTAACAATGATAATATAGTTGACTTTAATTTCAATATAGCTTACATTGATGCAGAACAAAACCTCTTGTAATATGTAATTGTCAACACAAACATTGAAGTTAAGTTAATCTAACTTTATTGCGAATACCAAACGAACAAAGTCGAGTACACAACTATCTTTACTTATAATTAGAACATAGAACATACAATTCTATACAAAGTTTCAATAATAATATACCTATAAGATTTGTGCATATTATAGATAATTCAGATATTAAATTATTAAATGTGTGTCATAGACAAAAATAAAAATTTCTAAGTAAGTAATTTCTATATAAATCTCGGTGGTCTACCTGTTTAGAATACTGTTTCACTACCGACGGTCGCGGGTTCGATTTCTCGGTACGAATATTTGTATTCATAAGTATGATTGTTTGTTTTGGTCTGGATGTAATATATTATGAAAAAATTCAAAGTATTTGAATTAGTTATCTAGATGGCTCTCTGTGAATTGTCCTAGGATATTATTGTTATTTAGAGTCTGCAAGGTTACAAATTATTAGGCACATTGATTGAAGTAGAAAAAGTATAATCCATCACATTTAAAATAAGTATTGTTGCTAAGTAACAGTTTGTGTGTAACGTGCAACTGCAATCGGAACGAAATAAATTATATTTACTACTATATATGTAATCCACTGAATATCTCTATCATAAATTAGATTTAATGAAATTCATTATCAACTTTATGTTTATAGATAATATGATATAGTGACGATAATATTGTGTGGCAAGTTCATACCATCATCGCAATAATACCTGATTTGTGCACTACTTATTTATCGATTTTTTTATCTGTGCTCATACGAAATAAAGTGGCCATGATTTTATAAAAACCGTAATCTAAATATGTTTATCTTTGGTATTGGATCGATACATGTATACATATATTGTCTGTGTTTTATAAAATAGCTGTTTCTTCTTCTTCTTCTTCTTTTAGTTTAAATGGCTTCCACCAAATGAGGTCGGTGATTTTGCCAACGTCGTGGTTTGGGAGACACAGTGGTGTGGTTTACGGTTTTCTTGACTGTGTTCGTAGAAAGGACTGTTTCAGTTGGCTGAGAATGCTAAGAATAAGGACAACACAACACATGTTAGCTTACAATTAAAATAGTGGTTGAGTAAAATACATGTATAATAAAATATATGTAACAGGTTGACAGACATGACATAGACAAGGATTTTAAAATGTGGGGAATATATACAAAGGGGTTTATATTTTTATATTATTGACAGCAATAAATTTGGCTAGTATTAACTAGCTGTTCCGATAATCTCTCAAGACTTTAGCAGTCATCACTATAAACAAAGTACTCGCAACTAAACGATTAAATCGTATTAACTGCAACATAAAGTATAGACACGTCAGTTTCAGATGAAAAATGCATTATATAGTATGTTGTGTAACGTAATTGTAAACAAGCTATGGATGGACCCAGACGGAAAGTGGTAACCGCCGTCTAGGT